AAGTGCGAATCGAATTTGGACACGAAGGGTTCCATACCATCGTACATGTATTTTTTATTAATATGACTTTTACCCTATGTATGTAGGATCGATTGGACCCAGTTATGCAAAAAACAGCCATGTGCATAAAAGTACCAACAGAGTTATAAGCACTTTTCTGTCGATAGTTACACTTGGGGTTATGTTTTGTTTTTCTGGTTATTTTAAAATTGAACAATATTTATATAAGTATTGTTTATTTTTTATAATTATTTTATTTTCAACCGACTTCAAAAAGGAGGAGGTTCTCAATTCGACTGTTTTTTTTATGTTTGTTACCTCAGAACTCCGTCATTTATTAACCGATTTGGACAATTTTTGTGTTGTTTGAAAGGGTATACTTCCAGATTGGTCCCATTTAAATTTCAAAAAAAAAATACCACCCCTAAGGGTGGAAAAATAACGAATGATGAATTTAATCTACTTCTAATTGTCATATTAACTTTAAATTTGCAAGTGTTTCTATTTCCGTTGATAGTACAGTGGTTTGGTGTTGTTGACCTGATCTGATGGCAAGACCAGAAGGTAGATAGGTGGAACTCTTCAACGGCTAATAGTAGATACTTTGAGTTTGGGCTTATTTTGTTTGATTTGACAAGCCTAACACGTTAGAATTCTTACTTCGCTACTACTGTGTACACTAAAAAGGGAAAAATAAAAACTTTTTAACAAAAAAATAAAAACCGACTTCAAACAAAAGCACTAAAAAGTAAAAAATAACTGATTGGTAGTTTTCATTTACTATACATCTAATCAAATATTTTCGAAGTCGGTGTGCTTTGCTTTGTATGGGCTGGCACCGATTTCGAAAATATTTGATTAGGTATGTATTTAATAGGTAGGCTTTAATTACTTAGCCAAAGCACACCGACTTCGAAAATATTTGATTAGGTATGTATAGTAAATGAAAACTACCAATCAGTTATTTATTACTTTTTAGTGCTTTTGTTTGAAGTCGGTTTTTATTTTTTATGTTATTTATAATCAAATGCTTATAACTCTGTTGGTACTTTTACGCACATGGCTGTTTTTTGCATAACTGGGTCCGATTATGAACGTTAAGAAATTTTTCTTGTATTTTTATTTTTATTATTGTTTTTATAACTATTATGGTTCATGAGGTACAGACAGACAGTTCCGATGGCACCTTTCGGGTACGGTACCCTAAAAAGTATGTATATATTTGTTTACAATTTATGTAACCATTATAAGTATTTCAACTTTCATGGTCACTGACAATATTGGTCACTGGTTACTGACGCTTGACATGGCGTTTGTTACAATGCGGAAATATCGGAAACTCTCAATAGTGGAAAACATGGTAAATATCCCTTTTGACATCATAATGATATAAAACCATGGATCAAAATGTAATTTTTTTCGTACGAGTAAATCAAGACTTGGACCGATTTCGAAATAGGAGATTGTCAATTGGAGTGTAACTATATTTGTGTGTATCTTCGATTGTTTGATATGAAGTTGTATTCTAATTCCGAATTTTATTTTTTGGTGCAGTGATAAATCAGCAGACAGCCCGCCCACCTGACGGAAACCGGTACCTATCGCCCATAACACCTACGGTTCATGCACTTAGGTTTGATGTAACAAAAAGGCAGAACCGCCGGTGCATTGTTACTGTGAGGACCAAGATGAAATATCTCTTGCCTGTAATTGCGCTGGCCTTGTTCATCTTATCCTGCATCTTCTCTTATCCTGCCTCCTTAATCCTTATCCTTTAAACCACAACACAACAATGCAATCATTGTTGCTTGGCGGGAGGAATAGATAGGGGGGTGCTATCCTCCATCCTGCGACGCCCATCCATCCGGAGAGGTTCCGTTGAGTTTTAGTGGGTAGTACTGGCTGTGCCGGTGAGTAACACATAACCACCTGTATGTTTGCAGGTGGTATGCCTAAATGCATTTCCCAACGTTCAAAAAAGGTGTTATACCCTCTATACCTTTAAGGTAGAATCTTGAAAATAATCACATCGTTGAGAAGCGTGATCCAACAATCGTTATTAAATATTTCCAAAATCGCAAAGCGAAATAAGCTATCAATATTTTCTATCCTTGTAAAGGCGTATAGAAATAAGTGAGTAATAAATGAAAAAGAGTGACTGAGTCTAACTCACGCGAGAACATGTAATAAAAATTATTATATTATCTAATACATACTTGCACAACAGTTCGTGCGGCCGATGCTTGAGCATTTGGAGGTCAAGGGCGGTAACGTAAGCATTTTGTATCAATACTATGGGTGCCAGATTCCACATTTTAAATGAAGATCGTGTTATACAATATTATTGAAAAATTACAGAGAAGAAAATTACATTCACTTCTCCATATTCTGCTTTTCAACTTCTTCATGGAGAAATTGAAAAAGTTGTGCCCATAAAGTAAAAAAAAAAAAAATTGTTATAAACACAAAGATTTCATTTATTGAAGACATAACTAAACCTGTCGGGTCAACAAGTTATTAATAAAATGAACGAAGGTCTTATTTTATGGTAAACATATGAAACAACATCATCTCAATGTTTTAGAATGCTATAAAAGATAACATAATAATTTTTAAGTTTTTGACACATCACATTGATAAGCGTAAAAATTTTGATTTTTATTCAAATTCAAAAATACCTATTTACCTTATTGTCTTGAATATTAAATTTAAAGTGTAACAAACATCTTGTAAATTTATTTTCATACAGAATACGTTGCTACCTTTATCAAGCATCTAATCTCTCTTACACATACAAATACAAAGTGAAAGATATTTAAACAAAAATATATCATTATACGTTAGATGGTGAAACTTTTTGCTCATTTAATTCAAAATAACATATATTTTTTTGTTATTTTATCTGTTCACATTCGTACACATGCATAAAAAAAAATAAAAAAGGCTAAATAATAAAAAAAAAACATTTAAAACTCTATGCAAATAGTGTAATTATACTTTTTACGAGAACTTTTAAAATATTTGGAAAGTGTTGAGAGACCGTAACATGTTAAATATCTACCGATTTTTAAATTACTTATGTAAAGCAAATGGTTGCTAACGAAGGGAGCGAAGAAACAAACAGTGCTATGTCCTTGGTATAAATAATCCTTTACCCAGCGTTTATTAAGTGAAATGAATTAGAACTGTGAGCTCTTTAAGCCTCGTTTGTATGTTAAATAGCGACCCACGACAGCTTTGCTTAGACCTCACTAAACGCTGCATCGTCAAAGAACACGGAAGCCTTGATATGACGGAATATAATGTATACATATATAATAAAATTGCAACTAAGCCGAATCTGTACATCAAATATTTTTTGGAAAGTCTTATCGAAATAAACATTATTATCGATACAGAGGCCGAATTTATAGTTATTAGAATTTTTGTCTGTCTGTCTGTTACAGCATCACAGCAAAACCACTGAAAGGATTTTGATGAAACTTGGTACGGTGATAGCTGGTCATCCGGGTCAACATATAGGATACTTTTTACCGCTGGAAAATATCTCATTTCTGAGAATAATACAAAAACCTAAGAATTTGGTTTTTGGTCATCTGAACGCGGGCGGAGCCGCGGGCAATGCTAGTGTACCATAAATAACCGGACCACAAACCATCTATGTTTGCTTAGACATTAAACGTCATCGCATCGATGATCGATACCATTATGAGAAATAATTCAGTCCGGGCTTTAATACGACAGCTAGCATGAAGAAGAAATAATTTATAATATTAGTTTCTAGAAATTAGGCAAATGAGCAGATCAAAAACTATATTTCGATTACATTAAAGTAAAATATACCTCAGTTCTTTTTAACGTTAGATGAAACCCGCTATTGCGCGACGAACCGCGGCTGACCTTTTATTGATCATAAACACGACGAATAAAAAAACTTAAGTAGGTAGTAAGTAGTAAGCTTAACTTTTTAAAATTTTGGTTCACAATTAAAGCTAAGCCATACCAACAACAATGATTAAATTTTTAATCTATACCATCGATTAAGTACAAGCAAAAAAGTACTTTATACACAATCCCATGCAAAAGTTCTCTTATAAGTGTCAAAAATTGTGTTTATGTAATTATTTTAGTTGAATTAAATATACAACAAATAACAATGTAAACCGAACCTTAAATGCAATGCTCAAAGTTGTTTTTACAAAAAAAAAAAACAAAAGCGCGCTCAAATGTTCAAATGAGCGCTCATTCGGTGAGGACATTTTTTATTGCTGATTTGTGTATCTAGTAATTTTTTGATCGATGATCTATAGATCGCTAGATATTACTAACCCGTCAGAATAATAATGTAAGAAATCCAATATATTTTGAACCGCGATCTTTCCATATCGTACCGTTACTGTATAGTATGAGTAATTATAAGTATCATCAGAGGAAAGCACTCACCCGATTAAATAAATTATTGAGTCATAAATAGTCAAACCTTAGTTCAAAGAATGGATAAATTAATTATGTAAAAAAAAACATATATTATTCCCCCAACAACCGCGGACACGCCGGCGTGTCAGTTAACAATAGATTTCTTAGAATCTTAATTAATTTCTTGGAAATTTTCCAGGAGGCGTTAACGCTATAATTTGCTACTAGAAGGCTTGGTACGAGGATTCCTAAACTTCAAGCAAAATTCCACCACCATAATATATAGATAAAATATGCAAAAAAAAATAATATTTAATGGGATCTTCAGATTTTACAAATTCGGGATAATTATTAAATAAATAAGTTTTTAGTGTCCCCCGTAAAATTTATTTTTATGGAATTAGCCACCTTGCGAATTAAGGTATCGATATGTAAAATGTAAGTTGGAGCGGTTTTAAAGTTTAAGGGGCAAAGGAGCCAACGAAAGTTTCTTTGGCTTAGCTTCTTTTAAGTTTGTCAAATTTACAGAGTCAAAAAACAATTTCAATATCCACATAATATATATAAATATAAATATATTTTACCTGATTAGTTATATCGTAGACTACGATTGCCGCTTGCGCGCCTCTGTAGTACATCGGCGCTAAGCTGTGATACCTGAAATATAATGATGCAGTATAAGAATAAGACCCTTATATACATAATTTATTTGTTAAATTTCAACTATATGGCCCGAACTAACATTTAAGTTAGCAGTTAAAAACAAACACACTCCCATATATATTTAAATTTAATATTTATATACATATTATGTTTTAGTAATTCATAAGGATATTGGTTGTCTTGGAAATATCTACAAAACTCTTATGGGCATCGTGTTATGGGCTATTTTAACAGTAAACTTCGTTTCCCGTATGAGTCCAGTCCAATGCGATACGAAACGAAAATGTAAGTAAACAAAGTTCACAAAGGTGGACTTATCTCTAAAAGAGATCTCTTCCAGTCAACCCCTGGTTGTGGAAGATGTCAGCGGGCAATATAGTGCAAAAAATTTTACTAAATATATACTAGAAATAAAGGTAATAATAATCACTTATACATACATACATACATACATACATACATACATACATACATACATACAAACATATATACATAATACATAACAATTTTGGTCAAAATTATTTTAAGGGCTCAAATACGTATATATGTATATTTCACAACAAGGACGAAACGTGTATGTCTCCGACTGCATATTGTTGTACACTATAATTCTTCGTCAAGTTGTTTTCATCTTTTTAGTTTGCTTTTATACAGTAGGGTGTTTACTTTTATAATATATTTATTATTTTGTACGTATATATCAATACAGCAATGCCGTGGGAAAAACGTAGCCTATTTATAAATGTAAAAATGCTCAACGTTACCGAAGATCAATACAATATTAATTAAAGGTTAGAGGCAGAGAGGATGCAAGAATACATTCATTCTTCTTTCATTCATTCAAGAATATTTTTAGTTCTTTTACTATCTGTTTCTTATTTGAGATCTATATAGTAATAAAAATTAAATGCTATTCGTTGAAGTGCTGATGCACAAGTAATCCTCGAAATCTCATTCAATTTCATTCATTTCATTCACATAATACTTTCTTAGATTTACACGAATGTTTGACATTTTTAAATAAAACTATCTTTTCGGATTATTTCGCGGATTTATTTTAATTTTTTGTTCCCGACGTTTCGAATGCTTTACAGCATCCATAGTCACGGGAGAGACTGAGGTGTTACATGTCTTGAAGGTATAGTTGTTACAGACAGCCTACCCACAATTAACAAAATGAAAATTGCACCAATTACCTTACAATATTTTTTAACTTTACACATTTTTATAATTTTAATTATAATTGAATATGGAATATTATTTATTTAATTTTTGCTATTATTCTTATAATTATAATAATTTAAAAAATATTAATAAGTAATCTATATTTAGTGTTGCCATTATTATATTTATAACCATAAAGAAAAATATAAATTATAGTATTAATTATTTAAGCCATATAATTGTTCTATGTGTAATTTAAAAAGTTAAAATTAATTAAGGATAATAATTTTAATTTAGTTTGCTATTATTTAAAAAAGACAACTTACTAAGCAACACTATTACTATACATTTTTTACAAATGAAAAATGAAAATCATATCAGATTAATATTCTTCCTTATGCCCACTAACACCTACTGATAACTGATTGATTACCTGCCACCGTGTAAACTATATATCGAATGCATACGAATGTAACTTATAGCTCGTAAACGATTGCTAATAAATCATGGTCGAGCCGTAACCATGTTATGTAAACGTCACGCCTCGCGTGTCATACTGTCTCGATGTTAACACGATAAATAAATAGGCTCACGTTGAATCCCTTGTGGGGTAAATTAGAAAGAAAATTATCGATTATGTACTTTAAACTAATAAAATGTAATATATAAATGAAATAAAATCAGTAAATTACAATTCTAACATCTGAACATACCTAGTGATATAGAAATTTCCATAGAATATATTCAGTTGTAGGAGATAAGAAATTCTTTTGCTTCAAACTTAACACGTCATCATATACTTACTAAGAATGTATTAAATATTCAACAAATAACAATTATATGCATCTACCAGTATATATAGATATAAAGCTATACATACATATGTCTGTATATGGAATATATTTGAGAAAAAACTATTCGTGGGTATCTTTATTAACGCAATGGAACCCAAAACAATAATTTTTAGATTTTTTCGTCTGTTTGTCTGTGCGTTTGTGCGCGCTAATCGCAGTAACGGTTAAACCGATTTCGGTGCGGTTTTCACTAATGTATTGTAGTAAGCTTCACTTAATATTTAATATTTGTTTTATTGCAATCCGTTCATAAATAAAAAAGTTATCTCAATTTAAAGAATCACCTAGGGATGAACCGTGCCCCCCCAACGTGCGTTCACCTTGTCGTGGTGGGGGGCTCAGTAGTAGTAGCGAAGCTAAGAAACGCACAGGGAGGTTGCCCACTTCGGTGGGCGGTGGGAGGTGGCCCTCTTCGGAGGACGGTGTACCTTGCGGGTTGCTCCTGGTACTTCTCTGATAGCAGAGTGGACCTTGGAGCAACCCCATGGTTGTGGTGGTCTGCTTTGGCAGACCTGCCGTCGGGGCGTCGTAGTTGAATGCGTAAGCGATCCTGCGACGCCCCATTAAGACGGGGGAAGGTTTTGTTGGGTTTTAGTTAGTACTGGCTGTATTACGCCGGTGAGTCCCACACGTCGTGCGTAAATGCATTTCCCAACGTTAAAAAAAAAAAAGGGATGAACCGTGCGAAGCGACGATGAGTCGCTAATTATAAATATTATTCTTAGAGTCTAAAGACCCATATCGGTGTGATTACACTTTTCAAAGAATAAACTACCGATAGAGAAACAAATTAACATTTAAACAATATATGATATATGATGAACACTATTCTAATAAAGATTCTTTCACGCTTAAACAGCTATACTATAGATTTCAATGAAATTTGACAAAGACATAGCCTCATGGGGACGGACACAAGTTATATTTTTGCCTCAATCCGCTTACCTGCTGCAGGCAATAACTAGTTTAATCTAACATGGAAAAATACCAGCAGCCATTTCACTAACAAAAAACTCAAAAATGAAGAAAGAAACAAATATTCATATGGGATCGTATCGGAATATCTTTTGTTTGTGTAAGCATATATTTTTAGAAATGGCTGTTTACTAGGTCTTATTTGATAATCATATTATTAAAACAATAATGTTTGCTTTGTTTTTTAAATTTATATTAGTGCTAGCAGAACCCGCGGCTTTGCTCGTGCTAAAACTACAAAAAAAATCTCAAAAGGTAGGTTTCATCCAAACTTTCATCCCCTATTTTACCCCCTTATAGGATGAATTTTGAAAAAAGCTAAAACACGTATTTATTTCATTGTATTGAAGAGTATTAATACCAAGTTTCAAGTAATTCTGATCGTAAATATTTTCTGGGTTATATTATAACGAGTTTTCCCGTGGGAATGAGATATCAGATAATCTCCCGCGGTAAAAAGAAACCTACAGCCCTCCAACTATCTCCACACAAAAAATCATGCCAATCCATCATTCTGTTTTGACGTAAAAGAAGGACAAATAAACAAACACACTTTCACATTTATAATATTAGTAAGTGTAAAACTACAACGATTCATACGTTTAAAACTTTTTAGGCTCTAAAAAAACATGCCCTACCTTCTTTCTGCTCAAAACGCATCGGATAAAAACAAATTATAAGGATTCTATATCGCCTTTTGGATACAGAACCCAAAAATCTACTATCTATTTCCATACAAACCTCTCTTGCCCCGCTGTGTCCCAGATCTCAAACTTAACGGTCGTGTCATCTAAGCACAATGTCTGCGTAAGGAATGCCGCACCGATGGTACTCTCCTGGTATTCATGGAACTGTCCCTTAACGAAACGCAGCACGAGCGAGGATTTGCCCACAGCCGACTCGCCGAGTAGAACCAATTTGAACTGACACACTTTCGTTTGAGGCGCTCCGTTTGGCCTCTGAGCCGCACCGCTTCTGTTTGTTGCCATCGCCTGTAACGAAACCTTGCTTTAATGTTTGAATATGAATCTAAATCTATTATATACTCGTTTTATAAACAAACTTTATCATTAAGTTAAATACAATAATATAAACAATTAATTAATAAATGTATAATAAGATAAAAAAAAATTTAAATAATAAATATGTCACTCTTATAGATGTACATTTTATCATAGTACATTAGAATAAGCTACTTTTTATCCCGGAAAAATGTACGGTTCCCGTGGGATAGATTTGTTTGTGGTTTCTAGAGGCGATCCCGGGCGAAGCGAGGGTGAGCCGCTAGTTTATTATAAATTTATTTACCCTGAATAAAAATTAATCTGCAAAGCGCGCAAATTAAACGAAAACGCTTCAATGTCCTATGAGTGATTAATATCGTTAATGAAGTAATATGAACATTACATAAAAAACTACTAACTAGCCACTTTTAGCATTAAACGATGATAGGTAAATTAGATTAATTAATACTAATTTAATAACGATAATTAAGAGTCTAATTATCAAAAACTTTTAAAAAAGTGAATTTCACAATAATTCAGGTTACAATAATTTGGTTTTACGACAAAAAAAAAAAATAACTTACACTATGTATTAGTAAAAGATATATTTTTATTTGTATGGAGAGAATAATCTATTATACTAATTCGCATTATTATCTATGCTCCTGGTAGGCAAGTGCAAAAAAATATATAAGTTAAAGAATATTTGGAACAAAAAAAGCATGTCAACAATTTTACATGCCTGTACAAATGTGCATCACTTGTGAATGGCTAAAGGCCGAATGGTTTGTGCTTAGCTGGGATTTTTGTTATTAAAAAAAAAATAAAAAAAAAATGTAACTAAATTCCATTTTAATTAGTTAAATATATCGTAAGATATGATTTGCGTATCGTAAATACATACGAGTATTATGTCCATATAGAGCAGAGGAACACTGTGGGTGTGGATCATTCATTAACCACACAAAATGTATGTTTCATACAATTTAAAGCATTGAGTATGTAAATCCCATTTAAATAGAAAAAAAAGCAATAAATAAAGTGAATGTGATGTAAAGAAGTCATTATAATATGTTATCTTTGTTCATAATCTAAGTAAAGGAGATTAATTATCAAATTCAAAATATTTTATTTAGCATTAAATTATTACAATTTTTTACTGACCGTCTTGAGTCTACTACCAATTCGGAAAGAAGAAGCCTCAGACCTGAAAAGAACTGGTGAAAGAAACTCAGAGGGACTAATATTACCTATTTGTCCTGACCTTAATTTTTAATTTCCCAGAGCCTCTGGTTATCCATACCTTTAATAATAACAATAATGATTAATCGTTTTACTTTTTTAAATGTTTCATAAGACAATGATAATTAAATTTCAAATTAATAAACACCATATCAAAGTATGACTCATGCAGTAATGTTGTTTTTTTTATTACTCGACTCGCAATGGAGGTTTATGTGTTTGGTCTCTATGTATTCATCATATTTTGTTAGATTCGTCTTGATAACGCGATTGTTACCAGGCTATATAGATATTATTATAAATCTAAATTATGGATTGCAGGCCAATTTTTGTCTCGAAAAAAAAAATCTTCCAAACCTATAGAGTAGGGTATCATATGAAGGTTTTTAACGAGACAATAACACAAAAATGTAAAAAAACTTGACTGCCTAAAATTGAAATAAGAAGAAGGGAACAAATCAAGAAATATAGCATTACGCAGGCAGAGAAATGGATATAGCTACACTTCAGCAAGGCTTTAACAATGTACTTGTGTCTCCAACTGCATAATATTATTATCCTTCATTATATTGTTAGGTTATTAATAGCTTTATTTAAAAAAAAATAGCAACTTTTATTAATTAGTAGTAATTAAAAGTATGTTTCGCAAATTTTTACTATAAGTAGACTATTGCCCGATTTCACCAACGTCACCTAAGTTTAAGGGATCCCCTAAGCATGGTTAGGGGGCTGTTATGGGACAGTTTCTGTTTCACCGACAGTTAGGGGTCACCTAAAGATTAAAAGCTACGTTATTTCCGAGTGTCAAAGGCTATATATTAACCCGAAGAATGAAAAGACTTTTTCATGGTAGTCGGATTTGCAAAGTAAGTCGGAAAAAAACGGTCGAACGAAAGCGTTTCTTACGAACGCTGCCTCAACGATGAGAGATATTATTATGATTATGTTCTAGAGAAAAGTTGTAGAACTTAATAATGCCTACAAAAAAGTCAGAGACAGCATATGTCTAACTTTTATATTTAAGTCTCAAAAAGTAGTTTTTTATATTAAAAAATAATTTAAATCAATAGGTCACATTTATTGGTCATATTATCAACAATTATGAATTCTTATCAAAATAAGTAAATTTATCGTCTAAAATGTTTAAAACAAAAGTCTTTTCCCTTTTACTGCATATAATTTGGGCAAATGGTTAAAGAGATAATCCGACATACTCGTAGGTATGGAACCGCGACTTTGTTGTTATTGTCTTAATCTATTGAGTGATATTTCTATATGATGGTTTTTTTTTCATATACAATACGTCAATCTATCTATACTAATATTATAAAGAGTTAAAGTTTATGAGTTTGTAAGTTTGTGATGTTGTAGGGGGGTAATCTCTGGATGTACTAAGATGATTTAGTGAAATTTGGTAAGAAGATAGTTTGATACCCTGGGAAGGACATAGGACACTTTTTATCCCGGAAATCATCCCTCAAGAGGGTGAAAATGGGGATGAAAGTTTGTATGAGGAAGCAAGCTAGGAAACAAACCCAAGCGAAGCGAGGGCGAGTCGCTAGTATATCTATATTTTGAATCTTCAAATAATGACATTATCAATTCCAGAACCGGTTTTATAAAATATTGGTTCATACTACATTATTCATACTATATTCTTTGTGTTTATTGTAAAGTGTTATCAGACAAACTCAAATAATTTATAAGTTATAGAATAAAAAGCCTATCTATGACAATGACCACTGAGAAACTTGTTGCTTTAGCTATAAATATTCATTAGGAACAACTACTATCGAGTGAAGGTGTTTTATGATTTAATAAAAGATAAATACAAAAATGTAACAACAATTGAATTGATCAAAACAAGTGTTATGAAGATTTTGTCTATTTTAGTTCACATTCAGGTGTGTAAAAAATTTTTTTACATATTAAATCAACAAAGACAATATAATAATTTGAACATTTAAAATCAAGTTTTCATAACACGAACTTGAGTAAAAATGTTATATAAACAGTGTAATATGTAAAATATATGTTGGAGCATAATATATCTCCGAATGAATCTATACAATACACGTAAATTATGTTGTTGAATATGAGGTTTTGTTCATGCAATAGGCAATAATATTAAAGATTAACTTCTTTGTGGCAGCACTTCAGTTTCATTATATTGTGTATGTATGTATTCCCTTGGTCCATATTTGTAATCTAGATCTCTAGATATAATATTTTTACATGTTAATCTAATTAAAATTATTCCCATCAAAATAATACATTTAATAAAAGATAGATTTTTTGAACTGTGGTCATAAGTTAGCTGAATTCAGGATATTTATTATTATGATTATTTAAAAACTTACCACTACACACAATGTGACACAAAAACACAAATCAACACCATTGACAATTTACACAAATTAAATTAATAAGTCCAAAATATCTACTTTCTATAGCTTTTTAAATACTAATAAGTGTATTTGACTTTATAACAAAATAAATAAAATAGAAACGAAAACAAGATATTATCTTTGCGTGCATATCATCGCGAAATCACAAAGAACTACGAACAATGGAAATTATCGGTGATTACTTGACACTCGCGAAACCAGCATTCACGATTTATCCACAATTTATCGGACGCCGTTGTCGCGTCTGCTGCTGATGACTAACCGTGTCAGCCCGTATCAATCCATTTCCTTCGTCGATCCTATCACTTCGCCTCCGACCCAATCAGCTGTACCTTGCAAAATACCTGCCTACGACCGATTAAACTTTCGAATACACTACCAAAATGTACTCGTTTACGAGACCTAATCTAGCAGTAATGAGTTCGTACTGTAAATTATTTGATAAAATGACGCATTTACTAGATTATAAGGACATGAAAGACGTACCCTCCCTGTTATTATATCGCCGTCACACACTTTTTATTGGGCGACAAATCCTCGCAAGGTCGCCGTGATTCGGATAATTTCATTAATTACACACTTATACGGATAAAATCATTAATTGAATTGCTAAACTGGAAAATCTAGCACAGAAATGCGAAATGACCACGAACAAACATGGAAGCGAGAGAGGGAGCAAGACAATTCATAAAATATAAATTCTAGTCTATGGTTGTGTTAAGTTTTGTCTATGCTTTAGTATTATGTTTATTGTTTATGTTTCTTATTAGAATTTAGAATATTGAGAACTACTATAAATTTATATTAAATACCAGCAATTTTAACATATTCAAAACACTCGGTGACTCGGTGAGTATGTAAAATTAATAAAATGGCAAACTGACTAAAGCATTAAAACCTTAGATTACGTATATTTATTTATTTATTTTATATTTATTTGAGACAATATCAATGATTTTACTAAAAAATACTTATTTTTTTCTTATGTCATAATTTCCATTAAAAAACAAAGTTTATAAAGAACGTTAAGTTTTCAAGATGTGCAATACCTTCCTCTTTCATTGTGCAATGGCAATTTTGATCATGGATGACAAAAAAAAATGTGATCACACAGACGACAGTTGACTTTTAATAATTGTCATTTGTCAATTTTTTCAAAAACGTGTTTATTTTTACCTACCTTGTATAATTCTATAGTTTTATTTTTATATATGTAGCAATATACTCTATGGTTTTATTTTTGCATAGAACGTAAACACATTTTATCTAAACTGAACAACATAAAAGTGCATTTGATTATAAGGTAAATAGAAAAATGAAGATAACCAGATATAAAAAAGTTCAAAAATATCTTAAATTTTACTACAATAACTACAATTTTCACCAGCCGTACCAAGTTTTGATCGATGGCACCTTCTGTTTTTCAGCCTTTAAAGTGAGTTTTACTTTTTATTTCAGGTTACTTAGTTTCGATTACTGCTCAGAGTTTATGTTATCACAAAAAACAGTTAAAAGTAATTTTTCTAAAAAAGTAAGTTCTTAAAAATAACCAAAAATGGATAGTAAATACCGCCGCAATGGTCGACTAATAGATATTGTTGATGAGGAATGGAAAGCTGAACAGTTGCCTGATGAAGATATTCAGGTACCATTAGAAGAGCTACCAGACCCTGAAGCTGACAGTGCTGACTCACACTTGACTTTAAAGGAACAAAGTATGAGGTGGCAGGAGAATTTTCCAGAACCAGCGAGCAGTAATCAAAACTAGGTAACAAACTTATATTAATATAAAGAGCTAATTTATAATCTAAATTAAATCTCCGAAAAGACATTCTAAAGTATACAATTATTAATTTTAGTAAAATATATCATTTTTATTGTCATTAAATTATTTTTATACAATTTCAGGAACATATTAATATAAGGGAACAGTTGTCCAAATATCTTAATGGAAATGTTAAACTTCTAACAACTAGATGTATTATTATAGAAACAGAGAAGGTAGCTAAAAAAGCGCAAGGCGCACTTACAATATTAAAGCAATTTGGTATTCACGAATGTGATCATAAGGAAGCAGTGCCTGGTTCTCAGTGCATAAAATCTATGGTTGGAAAGAAAAATGAAAAACACTACATATTAGCAACACAAGACAGAGATTTGCAGGAAAAAATGAGACTAAAAGCTGGTGTTCCACTTTTATATTTGCATAATAAATCTCCTACACTAGAAAAACCTTCAAAAGCAAGTTATAGCAAAGCTGGTACCGTATTAGAAACAAATCAATTTATGTTCATAAGTAAAACACAAGATGAATCATTAAAGAATATAAAAAAAGCTCTTGGTGTAGAGGAAAAGGAGGAAGAACAAAAGGTTATTACAAAAAAGAAAAAACCTAAAAACCCCAATCCATTATCATGCAAGAAAAAAAAGAAAAAGCCAGGTGTTCCAAAAAATATTAAACAAAATGTAGTGATGGAAGGAAAAGTGCGTAAGAGGAAAAAATCGAAACCTAAAATAAATAAAGAAGTTACTGTCTAGAATAAAATATTTTTATTGTATGTACTTTTTTATTTATCATTATATAGCAAGTAATATAGCTAAAGATTCTTTAAACTAAATGGCAAAAATCTAAATAATACAAAGCTTATATAAAGTATTTCTTTAGCTGTATGTCTTTAAAAGTAATGTAATATATTTTTAAAAACATTGAGTCAATTCATTATCATTTATGCTTGAAGGGCCACATGAATTTTAAACGATAAACACCAAAGGTAAGAATATGGATTAATGGTAAATTGCTTAGATATATTGTATGAAAATGTGACAATATGTCATAACATTCTTCTGGGCTAAATACTTCTTGTCCATCTGGAGAATCCTGAAATAACAAAATGACAATTACTTTTATATACATTATATTATAATTCTTCTGTATGCAAATGTCTTGGACTTATTTTGATCATTTTTTGTGTTTGTCTCATAGTATTAGTTTTGATATGCTTTAGAGTTTAAACTCACAACTGGACCCGGTAGGTGGCACTGCAGTTGGGTTCTAGAATATTTTTTTTTATTACTAGTGGACCCGACAGATATTGTCCTGTCCAAACATAAATATGTAATTCTTCTGTATATATGTGTCACTGAACTCCTAAACCAATTTTGATGATTTTTTTGTGTCTCATAGTATTTGTTTTATTATCGAAATCAATTATACCTTCCAAACTAAAAGTTGAAGATTCGGACAGGACATCTGTTGGGTCCACTAGTTTTAAATATTAAAAAATAACTATATGTATGTACTTCTATTATACCTCTACAGTGTGGCGTATCATCACTTCCTTGAAAAAATTCCATACAGCTATAGGTGAAAGCCAGTAGTAAAATTTAAAATGTAAATGGGTAGTCAGATATATGGTCAACAGGCACGCTAGTTTAAATACTGGGAAGTCCCGCTGTGCCCCATAGTCTATACATTCCATCACTAAACTAACAAGGAGTTTTTTTTCAGGCAGATTATAATTAGGAACTATATTCTTATTTATGAGGTATTTCCCTAAAAATAATACTTAAAATTAAATATTATCTAAAACAATCGAGTATGAATAGTGAAGCAAATAATGATTTCCTACCAATATGTTTATTTAAGCCATAATCACTATAAGCAGCAATCATCTCTACAACATCTTCCTCGGTAACTATAGTACCTATCAATAAATGTGGTATTCTTTCTTTTTCTGGTTTTCTAAATGGGGGTGCTTCATTCTCCTTTAAGGAATGAAAGTATGAAGGGGCAGATATTTGTGTTTTTAAAATCTCTGTTGACGACTTTAATAAAGAAGCAATAGGTGCAGATTTAGCTTTCATTTGCTCTATATTTGAGTTATTTTCAGTGATTGTTTTAGAATCATTAGACATGTTAAAATTAAATTATCCACTATAGAAAACCTTTCAATATTTTTAATTTATTATTTGACAGTGTCATAAATAATTTTTAATATATGTGACATAAATAAAAACAGGTCATTGATTTCATATTTTAATGTACTTAAATCATTAAAACTATTCTTATTTACAAAATATGCAATTACATGTAATTATATAATTATACATATAAATTACACTATAATAATTAGCGTTCCCGTCTTCTTTCATAGTTCTTCTCTGTTTTCTCCGGTGTTCTGCCCTCAAACTTTTCTTTGATGTTTTTCTTGCTTTCTATATCGAAGTTATCCCAATAACGTCCACCTAAGTCTCTTTGTGCATTATCTGAATGATCAGAATCTGTATCATCATCTTTCATATTTTCTTTCTCCTTTTGTCTCTCTTTATCACGTTTATGTCTAACATTTTTATCTTTTTTCTTGTCATTCTCGTCTGAGCTATTGGAATCAGAATCTTGTTTAACATTTTCATTGTTTTTCCGCTTCTCCTTGTCACGTTTTTTATTATTTGAATCTTTCGAGCTAATATCCTTCTTCTTATCTTTGTCACGTTGGCGATTTTTAGATTCTTCTTCGTCGCTACTGCTTGATTTTTTGTTGCTATCGTCTCTATAACGATTGCGCACCTCATTATTATGTTTTTCTTTTTTAGATTTAGCTATTCGATTTCTCGAATCATCATCACTTTCGTCTTGTTGTCGGTATTTAGTTCTGTCATTGTCATTGCGATTATTACGTTTATTTTCATCATCCCTCTTCGACTTAACGTGGCGATTTCTAGAATCATCGTTGTTAATATCTTTATCATTATTTCTATTTCTTTCATTTCGTTGGTTACGTTTTTCTTCATCAACTCTTCTAGGCCTGTCTTCGTCTCTTTCACGACCCATTCGATTTCGATAATCATCATCCCTGTCCTGTTTTCTTTTGAAATCATTATCGTCACGTTTATTTCGAGAATTTTGCTCATCATATCTATCTTTACCATTTCTGAACTCTTTATCATTTCGACCTCTTTGAGAATTTTCACCACTGACTTTATTTTTTCGATCATCTTCGTATCTATAATCCAATCTATCAGTATTTGTGTCTTGTTTTCTTCTAGAATATTCACTGTCTCCTTTACGTTCTCTATCACGATCTTTTTCATTTCGTTCATCTCTGTAATTTTGTCGTTGCGAGTCTCTTTCATTGCGACTTTCGTCTAAGTTTCTACTGTTGTCACTTTTTTTTCTGTCATCATTTCCATATTTTGCATTTCGCCTTTCATCATCTTTATCATTTTTTCGTCTAGAATATTCTTCATTCAACTGACGTTCATCGCGCCGTTTTGGTTCATCTTGTTCTTGTCTTTTTTCGTTTCGTTCATCCCTGACTCGATCTCTATCGTCTCTTTTTCTGCTTGAACTCTCATCTTCTCTGTTACTTTTATCGTCATCGAACCGCCTTCTATCTCTTCTATTATTTTCTGGATCTCTTCCTGTTCTTTCTGGTTCTCTTTCTCTACGATCTTCTCTTCCATGTCTATCGTAACGCTCATTTCCATTTCTTTGTTCGTAATTATTTCTGCGTCTGTCATCATTTCGAAAATCTTCACGAGGTTTCCTAAAGTTGTCATCATTATCACGCCTGTCTGACCTTGGATCGTTTCTTCTTGCGTCTTTGCCATACGTATCATAAAATCCATCGTGACCCCAACGCTCATTCTTATCAGATTCTTTGTTTGCTACCTCTGGTTCAGGAGTTTTTTGTGTAGATTTTTTCTTTTTCTTCTTCTCTTTCTTCTTTCCTTCCTCCTCCGAATCTGAAATAAAATAGATTTATTTAAATTTTATTTTACACATTTTATATTACTGTGATTAAAACAAGTCCCACTGGGGGCATTAATTTGTGTGATGAGCATGAATGTTTGTCCTCCAGTCTCCAGTCATGGGTATTTATATTTATAATATGTATGCTATGAATAAATAATATTTATTCATAATATGTATGTATTTCAAGTCATATATGTGTAGTGTATCAACTATCTGGTATCCATAACACAAGACTCATAGCTTACTGTGGATCTAGATGGTGCTGTGTATTAATGTAAAAAAATTGACAACGTGAAAACAAAATTTATTGTGTATTCAAAATTTATTTCAAAATATATCAGAAAATTACATTAAAACTTTGAGTAATATAATAAAAAATGTTTTAAAAGAAAACAATATCGAATGTGCATATTACAAAATATCGATAAACAATAGTAGTCCCAAGGAGGGTTGACGTCAGGCAGGCGGCCGGTCGTAAAACTTTTGCCAAATCCTATCAGCAGTACGGAAGATGTACTGCGCCGACCTGGAGTAATTGGGAAATGGGCAAGGAGATGATGATTTATTTATAAGGTTCCACATTACCACTTGAGCTGGAGTCACTAGAGGAAGAGGATGAACTGTCTGAGCTTGAGCTGGAACTGGAGTCTGACTCGCTATCTAGTTTAATTTCCGTTATTTGTGGAGGAACATTCTGAAAATAAGCATATTATATATTAAGTTTTCCTTTCTTTCATTTTCATTTGTATAACAAATCCATATACTTATATAATAAATGTGAAAGTTTGTGATGATGGATGGATGTTTGTTTCTCTTTCACGCCAAAACTGAACACGGTTAAAAGGATATGGATGAAATTTGGCACAGAGATAGATTATAAGTATGAAATAACATATAGGTTACTTTTTATCCCGGAAAAATTTACGGTTCCCGTGGGATAGATTTGTTATTGTTTTTCACTAGGAACGAACCTGAAGCAAGGCAAGGGTGTCACCAATAATATATAAAATGTTTTAAGTATAATTATAGTATAGAATATAGATAGAAAGATATAAAAGGTACCAGGTATTTAGATTTTTCTCTATACTAATAAGTAATAACATATGGTACCTTAGGCATTTGTTTTAAATGTTCTCGTAACTCATCAGTAAGTCCTCCCAGACCAATAGAGGTAAAGAAGTTTATAGAAAATCTTGTATTTTTAGGATTATCTCTAGGGAAGATGCCAGAAAAAGCCTCCTGCAAAGTGCTGAAAAAAAATTAATTACATTATGAACAAGACAACAATTCAGCATGTTTAGAAAGGTAATTCACTTGCAATATCAAAAAGAAGATTTTGACAGTAACTTAATATGTGCAATTAAACTTATCAAATACAATTAATAAAAAATAATAATTTTGAGTTAAAATAAAAATAATATCACAATATCAACCATTTGAAGACACATTTAAAAAATCTCAATTGAACCACCTCATTTCAGAACTTACGGATCTTTAAGTCGATCATTTAGCTTTTTTAACCCCATATATTCTGCCAATTCTTGAAACAAAATCTTGATGTAAATCCTACTTGAACTTGTAGTATCTTCTTCGTTTAATTTTACACACTCTAATGCTTCCCAACTGATTGAATCAGTGAAAAGTAAATGGGCAAAGAACTTGCTTACATTTCTGAGACGATTAGTGTCTAATCTGTGCGCAGTAGAATATGAGTCTTTAAATATTTCTTCAAATGGACCAATGTATATCCTGTTAATATTGCAGAAACGTTGAGCCAAAAGACCATAAAACTTTTCATAAGTCCTCTGTTCAGCACAGCAATCTAGAAACATGTGGCAAAGTTCTATCTCCTGTCCAGGCTTTAATTGCATTTTCATTAGTTTGTGTGCGCATTCTTCAAAATCCAAACTTGAATTGATAGTCAGGTAAATAGTTCTCCTCAAAGCTACAAGGTTGGTTTCTGTATTATCTATTATAGTGACTGCTTTCTCTTTATCCTCTTCCTCTTCCTCATCAGATTCTTCACTACCCGATTCCCCAGAACCGTCCTCTTCTCCAGATTCAGCATCAGACCCAAGAATTTCTTTACATAGCCCTTTGTATTTCTGTTCATTTTCCTCATATTTGTCATCAAATTTAAATACATCTGAAATTTAAAAATTCATGTGTTAAATTTCCAGGAAATTTATGTAAAATTACTTGTTAATTCATAACTATTATTTAAGACCAAAATATGTACATACTCAGGATATCTTGTGCATCAGTCGCATCATCCAACATCAAAAGATGAGTGAACTGCTCCTCTTCAGGTACTAGTTCCAACTCCTCAATAACAGCTGGATGATCTTTGAATCCATCTTTCCACACTTGAAACATAACCTCTATCATATATTGTACTCTTTTATCTAACTGTCCTTCATGTAAAATGTTTCTCAACATTTCAAATATTGCATTTACACCTTTTGAAGATACCTCCGTTAGTTTCTGCCCACATTCCTTCAAAAATGCTATAGCTACCTCCACAGAGTCATCTGTAGGAGTCTCAACCAACAATGTTAACAGTTCTAAGGCAAGAATTTCATGAGCTACTCTTTGATTAACAAGATGAGCTATAAAGGAAGCAGATGAAATGCAAATGGGCTTATCATTTCTCTTAAACCCTCTTTTGAACTGTATAACTAACCTTTTTAACAGTAGTTCTCCTATATTAGGAAAGCGTGAGTTAACTGCGGCCACAAGAGCAGCATAAACATTAGTGAATGTTGGTGAAGCAGCTTGAGCTTGAACAACAGAACGGCAAAGCAAACCACGACCTCGCACTATATTCTCTTTTAATAGCTCTTTGATAATAATGCCAATATTACCAACATTAATCTTATTGATGTGACCGTGTATAGATTTTTTTAAAGCTTCCCAGGCGAGCCTCTGGTAAGCAACTGAAGATTTATCCGTAATTTGAGCCTGCATCATTCGAAGTCGAGCTGGCGGAATATATGCACCACCTGTTCTTGTATTGAGCATATCAGTTTCTTTTGCCTTTCTTGGTGGTAGTTCTGATTTAGTTTCAATATCTTTTGGCGCGTCATCACGCCGTTTATCTTGTTTGGCTGGAATATTTGGCGATTTTGATCTGGAATGTCTCCTTTTACGTCTAGAATCTCCTCTTTCATTAGGTGATCGGGATTTTGAACGACGCTTTTTATAACTCCTCTCTTTTCTATAATCATCAGTATCATCATGTCTTTCCTTTCTACGTTTACTGTCCCTACCGCGATCCATAATGTTACCGAGAATTAAACACTTTAAAGTTATATAACACTTCACGAACTGTTGCAAATTCTATTTCTTAACATAAACTGTGTATCGTCTCACGTGTAAAAATGTTAATTGTTATACTTTGAAAAAACACTACAATGTGCAGCCATTTTGGCTTTGACAAATTGTCAAACGTCAACTGCTTTTGAGTTTTGATAGTTAAGAATTGTGACGTTTAAATTACCATGTAGGGTTGTGACTTATGACAGTTGCGGTAGATACTCATAGAATTAATACCCCCGATAGAAATGGAAAAAGAATAACCAGACCTCCTGCTTTCTCTTTTTATTTTATTCATTTATAATATGAAAGTGATAAATTATGATGACACACCGACTGCAGCGCCACCTAACCGGATTAATTTGTCAATTCAAACCTTGCAGGGACCTACTCGAATATACATAAACTTATCATTCAAATCGTCCCTCTCATTTAGGTAATGATCAGTGGCACATCGACTGCAAGCCTTGCAGGGAACCACCCACTCGAACATAGACAAAAAATATCATTTAAATCGTCGCTGCCGTTAAGCAGATAATCAGTGGCACTCCGACTGCTGCGCTACCTACAGGGTCTATTTGTATTTTCAAACTTTGTAGGGACCCACTCGAACATACACAAAAAATATCATTAAATTCGTCCCTGCTGTTTAAGAGATGATCAGTGGCACAACGACTGTAGCGTCACCTATCAGGCTTAATTGTGTTTTCAAACCATTAAAATACACATACAAAATTTCATCCAAATCGGTCTAGCCTTTTAGGAGGAGTAGGTTAACAAACACACGTACAGAAGAATTATATATAAGATATTAGTACTTTAATAGAATTTAGAATAAATAAAAACAGCAACAAGTATTGACATTGTTTAATGATTTATTGGCTACGAAAAAAAGACTGTTTTGTACCTAGTTCTCCCCAAAAAAAAATGTTTTTCTAAATATTTGCCTGTTAAATGATTTCTGAATGCAGTGACTGTTACTCAAGTGAATTGCGAAAAATTAGGCGACCGGCATAGACCTGCTCAAAACTAAGAATAAGATGCGTTCAAAAATTACAATAATCGATTCATAAAATAAACATTTTTATCAACATAGAGAGCTTTCATAGCCAAACTGTTAATCAAAGTGTTAAAGTAATATTATGCCGTTAGTTTTGACCGATACTTACTATCAAAGTATCGATACAGGTATTGAAAGAATGTATCGAGTAAAAACTTGTATTTACTCGTATCGTTGCATCCCTAGTCATCTGTGGTATAAGCTGATAAAAATATTTTTTTTATGTTTGAAACACTCACTACAAAAGACGTTAGTTGTCAGTTGTCTCTTGTCAGTCTTGACATAATCGTGATAAAAATAAAATTTCAAATTTGAATTTCGAAGAGCGAACTTCGACGTTCAAAAATATTTGAATTAAATCCACTTTGTAGTTTGCAGTAGTTGCAGTCAGCAGAAACAATCTTCTTATTTCCTAATAATTTCGATTTCATATAAATAATTGGAGAATACATATAATATGTTGAAGATTTTAAATTGCACTAAATATCTGTGTTAACTGGTAAGTAACTAATTTAAAACTTAACTCACTCTTCATTGCAACATAATAGATTTTTCATAGATTTTATATTTGAAACACTCTAAAATCCTACTTAAAAATAAATTGATTTTAATTAAGACGTGACACAAAGTAAGGGGGAAATAAACAAGACCATTTCAACCGGCTCGCTTTGAAGCCATATACAAGAGAATTAAATTGAATAACAAGTAGCATTAATTTTACTCAGCTGGTTTAGTGTAAGCCATAAAATATGGTTGGATGGTTCCATTTGGCAACAAAGAATAGTTCGAATTGATTAATCGTTTTTCTGTACAAAATGTATGGGAAAAGTTTTTGGCGATTTCTGTAAATTCAAGTACTCATACCTTGAATGGTCTCATAGAGTCTTTTGATCCTTACATGAAATAGGATCAATTGACATAAATTTTTTTTTTTTGGTTTTTTAGCATTTTTTTCGCTAACAGTACATTTTTTCCAAAATCTGTAAATGCAGTTCAGAATATCTCAAAAAGATATGGATCGTCCTGTAACTATAGCTGTTAAGATACCTGTCCCGTCTCAAAAATCCACCCTGTAGATTTAAATTGAAATATTAAAATAACTATGTACTATAAATAAATTTTATAGCATTTAGATAATATAAAATTTGACTGCTACTGTTTTAAAATACACACAGGTATTAAATAAATACTTTACTATTAAGTAATTAAATAAATACTTTTCATCCAGCATTCACATGTGGTAATGTAATTATAGAGTCTTCAACTATTATTATATACTAGAAGAACCCGCGGCTTCGCTCGCGCCTTTCTCATTAAACGGGCTTTCTAATGCATAAAGAATTTTTCAAATCGGATTAGTAGTTCCTGAGATTAGTGCATTCAAACAAACAAACAGCCTTTTAATAGTTATATCATTAGAAACCGTAGTAATATATACTAATATTATATCTATATTCTAATATTAATATAGATTACTAAGCTTTCTAAGGCTTATTACATTTCCATTAGGTACATGTGATGATAATTTTATTGGTTTTTTCCATAAGTATGTATTTATTTGGTGTATATATGTATGACTCACCATGATTACCAAACTGGGAATGCCCAGTTGATATCATTAGACTCAATTATTATTATAATAAAATATTATCAGCATGCCAGTAGTACTGGTTATTTTACTTTGTTATTCTAAATATATTTTAATGCCTTTAAAATAGTTTTGATAACAATTATAAATAAATATGAACGATATCCATTTTCTGTTTTCTCAGAATTAAGTTCAGATATGATGGAACAAACCGGATATAGCTTGCCTAAAAGGCAACAAGAACTTAATGCTAAGGTTAAAGAAGCAGTGTTACAGAATGTTGACTTTAATGAAATTAAGTCTTTAGAAGAAAAATCAGACTTAGATAAATTATTCAAAATTGATGTTGCTTCTGAGTATAAAGAAGTAGCTTATATTATAGAAATATTAACAAGTGGAGACCCACTATATATTTCAAGAGCTTTAAGATGTACTTGGCTCTATGATGCAGAATATATGTCGATCATTAACCCTGATTATCTACAATCAAACGTATTCCCATTAATGTCAATAAAAATGATAAAGAAAACATTAACAACTATATCCAAACATATAAGAGACGAAGAAAGGGCACTTAGTTTTTACAAATATTGTAGAAAAATTAAATGGGATAATATTGCATTTAAGTTTTTATTATTTTGTTCTGAGAAATACAAATTAGAGTATCTACAGACCAAAGACGTAGATGAATCAAAAATTGCTCAGTTTGTTGGGAATTCGTTTTTACTTGCTGAAACATATTTAGATTTGGAAGAAGTAAAATATCCCATAACAATTTTACTTGGGAAGCTATGTTATCTGTACTCAGTATGTAATGAAACATACTTGGATCTTTTTGAAAGTTATTGTGATTATCCAAGTACAGAACAATTTGGCCTTAGAATTTCCAAAAATATTTTAACTAAGCACAAACAAAGGGTAATGAAAGAGCCAGAACTTTATGTTAAGCATCTGAATACTAATATGTTGATAAAATATTCTACTGTAGAAGATGCTAAGTTTTATTTAAATGCTTTGAGTATGCCCCATGAGGTTGCAGAGTTTTGGTACTCTCTTAGGGAACAAACAACCAAAATTATACCAATCTTAACAATATTGCCTGAAAATGAAAGGCTCAATTTTTTAACTCAAATATTTATGGCAAAATATCCTGGAGAGCCTTTTGAGAGTTCTAAAATGTTTTATTATCAAAAATTATTCAAGCTGATGACGTTTGAAGAGAAGGAAGCATGGGCCTTGAAATACTTGAAGGAAAATACAAAATGGTTGGACAAAGACCAAGAATTTATTTGGTGTAAATTTGTAAATTTTCAATTAGCATTCAAAGCTATAAAGAAGTACATACTAGTCACAACTGATTGTAATAAGAGAAGCCAAATGCTCGATATTTTAATAGATGTTGCTGGAACTGAAGAAAATTTGACAAAAGTTATGAATTATTACTATGATAGACATATTAATGAAAGAGAAAATGTCAAAGAAGAATTTGTCAATAAAATATATAGAAGTCACAATGTTTTCAAATTCGAAGAATCCTGCTGGAAAGTTTTTAATAAAATCTTATACAGTATGAAAGTTTACACGAAACAGCCGAGCTATTACAATGATGAATTTAGGACAATTTGCATTGTTTATCATATTATAAACAACAAAGATGTACCTGACACATTACATGCTGAGAAAATTAATGAATCACAAGTTAAGTATTTCGAACTACAAATAAAACTATTAACAGATGATCAGAACAGGTTGATATACCAGTATTATTTAAACCTGTTCACTAAAACAGTTGAAACATATGAAGATCGAGAGTATGATGAAAACATCCGTGCAGAATTAAAACCTATCCTATATGGGGCGATACTCATTTTGGCACTCTTCAAAAAAACCAAGGCAGACTGTCCAAAAGTTATTATGAAATATATAAAACTTGATTGGAGTTATTTTGAAGAACTGGATTTTCTGTCAGATGAGAAAATATCGCAAGGTTACCTAATACGCCTCCTAAAACAAAATGCCAAGTTACTATTGGATAAATTACCAGATGTAAAAGCTGCCTTTACAAGACATTACTTAAATTATATCTCATTGCGACTTAACAGAGTTATGAAAAAAATAAAGGTTTACTTTTCAAATGACTTTGCCAAGGATGTGCTGAACGCTTTAGAAGAATGGTTTTTAGAAATGGATCGATATACTTATTTGAAGCTGTATCACGTCACAATTTGCAGTATATTGCAAATAGCAGATGAAGACTATAAAATAAAGTTTATATCCAAATATGCTCCTACTGTGTCGAAGGTAGCATATGATGAGATAGATCACAATATCTTACAAATTCAAGCGAACATTTGCCGATATGCGCAATATTCGAGGCCGCCGTTGCCTTTGCAGGAAATTCTTAAATACATCAAGGGTGACTACGTGCAGTGTTGCTTGCCCATGTTCGAATCCCTCACCGTCAACTTGCCACGACCTTTAGCTTGTCAATTCATTGAAGCAAATCTCGATTGTCCGGTGTCCATACAGAAACATGGCATACGTCTAGCATTCCACTACTTTAATATTAAAAGATTGGAGAAGTTCATATTAGATAATTGGGGCAACACAAAAAATGTGTTTCTACGTAAAGTTATATATAAAGCGCTATTTTATCGTGTAGTCAAAGATGAGAATGCAAACGTGAGGTTTTATGAATTACTTAAAATGATTACGTCGGAATTAAATGAAGATGACGACGATGATATATTTAATCTATTTTCTGAAGTAACATCACTTCCCAAAGCATTAAAAAGTGACTATCTAGAGGTAGCATGGACAACTGTTGAGAAATTACCAAATAAAAGCCTAAAAAATGTGGACCGACAGTGTGGAGTCATTATAACAATTAGATCAAATATTCATATAATGAATAAAGAATTCTGTCGCGAACAAATTCTAGACGAATTCGTCAAATCGATGTTGTTTGAGAGAAAAATTCACGAAGAGTGCAAAAATCGAGAAACTGAAATATTAAATCAAGAGAAGTGGAATCTCGCAGTGGCCTACATCACTCATTTCGATAATTCAGAACAACTTACCAAAAGAGTTGAACTGGCGTCTGTTATTATTAAAAAGTGCGTTGAAATGTGGGATTATTCACACGAACGTGTTTACACCATCCGCCAATTCATAATGGAGTTTTTAAATAATTTGCTGAATCAGGCATATCGGGATGACGACAAAGTTACACCTGTCCTACAGAGCATCATCAACCAGCTCGAGCAATCACTACCAATAAAACAAATATATTTATTGTACTGTAAATTAAATTTTGCAGTTATTTCAAAACAGGTGATGGGACCCAAAAAAATTGAGTCAAACTCTGGAGAAATAAATTACAGTCATTTAAAAATGGAGGATGTTGCAGCAAATTTTACTGACAAATTGGTAAAATTTTTAATAAGTCTCAAACGTCACAAAATGCTGTATATAAGCTGTTATAGTGAGCTCGCCTTTGAGATAACAAATGTTCTTGATACGATGACATATGATACAAAATGGAAAAGCAAAGACTTATCGATCGAAGTGTGTGATCGTTTGACCGACATACAAAGGCTTGAAACTTTTACTATAGCGACAATAATGATACCGATGGCGGATGATGAAAAAATGGAGAAAAATATTTCTAAAGTGATAAATAAAATTATAGAATATGATCACGATGAGTTAGAAGTTCTCTTATGGAATAAAATGATGAATAATAATTACAAGGTGTTTTTAACTGACAATACAAAGAAGAAAGCTCGCAATCCGGGCGTATTTTACTTTTATATTTTTTTGGCTGTATGTGCCGCGATGTTACTGATGATTCTGAATCCATTTAAGGACTTTTTCTTTTTGAATGGCAGGAGAAAATAGAACTTCCTTGGTGATGTAATAAATTTTTAGTTCCTTGTGTCGACTAACGCTTAACTCTAGTGACTAGGGACTTAATATATTTGAATATTTTATATATTAACTAGCATTGCCCGCGGCTCCGCTCGCGTTTAGATGACCAAAAACCAAATTCTTAGGTTTTACATATTAGTATACTTTTACACTGCAGTTTTTGTATTTTTCTCAGAAATGAGATATTTTCTCGCGGTAAAAAGTCCTATAAGTTGATCAGGATAACCAGCTATCATCATACCAAATTTCATCAAAATCTGTCCAGTGGTTTTCTCGTGATGCGGTAACAGACAGACAGACAGACAAAAATTCTAAAAACTATAGTTTCGGACTCTGTGTCGATAATAATGTGTATTTCAATTAGATTTTCTAAAAAATATTTAATGTACAGATTCGAACGCAATGGAATTAAATATAGATCGTATGTTCCTATACATTTTATTTTTGATATATAATTTTTCGATGTTGCCATGTGTAATGTTGTTTAATGTGGTTTGTACTTTTGTAAATAAATGTTATTTTTATAAATCCTTTTTCATTTCTTACGTATAACATCCTGACGGCTTTCCTCGGTAAATTAAAGAATTATTTATGTGTCTTCGATCAACAATACTACTGTTGATCGAAGTTACGTGTAATCTATTGCCTAAGTGTCTCTAAACCTCTCAGATTCCTTATCCTTTACCCGACTGTGGGAAGCCCAAAAGACGGTTATGTATTTGACCTGTACGTAATAGGTATTAAGGCTCCTAATTAAACGGCTTAACCGATTTTGATGATTCATACGTCGTCGGATTCGTCTTGATTTCTTTTGTTCTGTGTCTTTTATTTTTACTTTTATATATGAGACTAGCATTGCCCGCGGCTCCGCCTGCGTTCAGATGAAAAACCAAATTCTTAGGTTTTACATAGTATACTCTTACATTGCAGTTTTTGTATTTTTTCTTAAAAATGATATTTGATATTTTATGATATTTTCCCGCGTTAAAAAGTATCCTTTATGTTGACCCGGATAAACAGCTATCACCGTACCAAATTTCATCAAAATCCCTCCGGTGGTTTTTCTGTGATGCGGTAACAGACAGACAGACGAAAATTCTAAAAACTAGATTCGGCCTCTGTATCGATAATAATGTTTATTTCAATAAGATTTTCCAGAAAATATTTAATGTAGTACAGATTCGGCTTAGGTATAATTTTATTATAGGTATACCTAGCTAATGCTCGCATTATAAAGAGGTATCGAAAAACCTACGAATCATTGAAATCGGTTAAGCCGTGTAGTAATTACGAGGGAACATAGCATCAGGAACACATACATATGTGTATATTTTAATAGTTTTAGAGTAATAAATCTTTGAAATTTTTCTATGTAATAGGTACAACTCAGCCGCAGCCCGAATAAGTTATTGGTTTTCTCGTGGGAATGACAGATTTTTTTTGCAGAAAGAGATAACCTAAATGTTGACCCGAGTATATACTTAATAAGTTATCACTACACAAAATTTAGTTTAGTAATCGGTTCAGTTTTTACGTCAAATTTACGAAGATATCAGATAACAGACAAATATTTCAACAACTTGTTACGGAGCCTATATTTAGTACACATTACGTAAGTCATAGTTTTAAAAAAAAGTTATTTAGGTACTATTTTATTATAAGTATATAGAGTACTAGAGACTCGCCCTTGCATCGCTAGTGTCCCTAGCTATTATAGGCAAAATTAAATAAATTTTTCATAGCTTAAGTTATCTCGTTACAATTTTTATGGGATCCCTGATTTTTTTTGATAATTAAATATGGCCACGTTACTCGCTGATAATGTAGCTTTTGATAGGATTTTTAGATAGAGTAAGAATTTTTAAAATTGGCTGTTGTTTTTGAGATTGTACATTAAAAACAAAATTAAAAAAAAAACTTTTTTTTCTCTTTGCAATATTACTATAGATATGGAATATAGGTCTTATAAGGAATAAAGAGAAAATAAGTTAATTAAATGTCGATAGATGGCATTATGCCATTTATAAAAGAAAATAAAATACATAATGCATTCATAAATCACTTTATGGAGAAGTTTCAATTTCTTTTTTATGAATTAATTATAAGAATTTAAGTAACATATAACAAAAATATAAAAGACTAGCAGGTCACCCTCGCTTCGATCGGGCAACGGGTTCGCCTCTAGGAAAACAAAAACAATTCTATCCCTCGGGAACTGCATATTTTTCCGGGATAAAAAGCCTATGTGTTATTCCAGACTATAATCTATCTCTGTGCCAAATTTCATCCAGATCCGTTCAGCCGTTCTGACGTGAAAGAGTAACATACATCCATACTCACAAACTTTCACATTTATAATACACATAGTAGTAAGATTTACAAAGTTATCTCAACAAATGAAAAAAATATGAAACTTTAATGTAGCGCTTGCAAGAATAATTTCATGTCATCATACGACCTGAACAACAGAAATTTAAATTAAAGAGAAAAATAGAAATAAAAAATAACCAGTTGTAGGTACGTAAATAACAAGGAACAGCGGTAGAGCTCACTTGTGACTTTGAATAAATTGAACGTGATATTTTATAGTAGGGGAGCCCAAGAGGGGATTTTCTGTAGTTACTCGAGCGCGGCAGATTAACATAAAAGAGGTTACCTTGCACTCTATTGAGTACTTTCACCATAATATAAGTCTTCTATATAAAGGGGCGCGTCTAGGGAAGCCGATTAAAATATTTAAAAATAAAAAACAAAAATCCCCTCTTGGGCTCCCCTACTATTATGGCGGAGATCTCAGGTAAAATGACGTCACACTCGAGTGAGAGACCGCAATCGTTGTGTGTTAAAGTGCTTAAACATTAACAATTAATTTCTCAGTCATTTATTGAAAGATATCAAAAAAAAATCACCGTCTAAATCACCAATAATAGTTTTGATCTACACTATAATTCCATTCTGTTAATGAGTGAGAGAGAGAGAGAGTAATGAGTGTGAGGTACTCCTTATTCATAGATGACGATGTTTATATGTTACGTTTTAACGGTTGATATACGAGTACATTCTTCCCCCCCAACGTGCGTTCACCTTGTCGTGGTGGGGGGGCTCAGTAGTGCCCGGCAATCCAACCGGGCGCGAAGCTAAGAAACGCACAGGGAGGTTGCCCACTTCGGTGGGCGGTGGGAGGCGGCCCTCTTTGGGGGGCGGTGTACCTTGCGGGTTGCTCCTGGTACTTCTCTGATAGCAGAGTGGACTGTGGAGCAACCCCATGGTTGTGGTGGTCTGCTTCGGCAGACCTGCCGTCGGGGCGTCGTAGTTGAATGCGTAAGCGATCCTGCGACGCCCCATTAAGACGGGGGAAGGTTTTGTTGGGTTTTAGTGGGTAGTACTGGCTGTATTACGCCGGTGAGTCCCACACGTAGTGCGTAAATGCATTTCCCAACGTTAAAAAAAAAAAAGGAGTACATTCTCGAAGATGAGATATTCCGCAGTAAAAATTATCCTATATGTTGACCCTGATAACCAGCTATCATCATACCAAATTTCATCAACTTTCATCCCCATTTTCACCCTTAAGGGATGATTTCCGGGATAAAAAGTATCCTATGTCCTTCCCAGGGTCTCAAACTATCTTTTTACTAAATTTCATCTAAATCAGTTCAGTACATCTAAAGATTACCCCCTACAACGTCACAAACTCATAAACTTTACCTCTTTATAATATTAGTAAAAGTAAATAGTATAGTGTTCCCCATGGTCTACTACGATTTGAAGTCTACAATTTTATTAAATGTATAATAATATTTATGGCCATACTGTGGTAGGTACCAGCTTAGTATTATGTAAGTAACAGAAAATTAATCATATTAATTTTTAGCATATATTTAGAAAATAAAACTCTTTCTCTATAATTAAAATGGCTTTAAGATGTCAACTAGTGTTATAAAAGAAATAAAATTATATCTTTGGTTATTATACTTATTTTGAATTTATCAAAACAATATAATTTTTTTTCAGGCAATATTTACAAAAAGGTCTTAAATATGTAAACAGAGGCCCATAACACATATACCTTAAAAACTAACATATATATTAATTTTAATTTTAACATCTCACATTAATAGGATTAGAAACAAACGGAGATAGGAAGAATAAAACCAACAGACTTATTAGTATTTATGACTTTATTCAATACGACAATGAAACTACAAAAGTCGCCTGCACTTCAAACAGCAATGTCTTATACCTCACGAACTGAAGCACATATAATTACATAAAATATAAAAATTAAACTAAACACCGTAGAAGGAGTGTATACACTAACAATGAAACGAGAAAACGAAAATATTTATAATTATCAGAAAGCTATACTGGCGTCGCTATACATGATTAGTATCGATCGAGTCTAAAAGGCTACACAATACCCAAGGCAAATTGGTCAGAAGTTTACACGTCTTCACCGAAACAGAAGCTCACTTACACTAAGTCTTACTCGTAGCTAACGTAGAGTGAAGCAGGCAAGCGCGCCCGCCTTCGCCAAGCAGATATATATACAGGCGGACCGACCGACGGCCGACCAACGGAAAATATAAATATATATATATATATAAAAATTCAGAATTTCCATCACTCGCCCCACCCGCGTCCCGATATCCCGCTCGGTCAACAACATCGATAACCGGGCGCCGACTCGAATAACCCTATTGTATCGAAATAATTTGTGCCTAACCGAGTAATCGATCACTAGAGCGAAACATCACAGAAGCAGTTTGTGTCCGACACCGGCGGCCCGGCGCCTCGTCCTACGTTTAGAAAAAATATAAAAACGCTATGAAAGGCATGCGTCTTCCTTCCCACGAGGCACTTCCTAACGATCTATCTATTGATTTTTATTGTGCTCTTTTTGAGATCATAAGAATTTGTGTACTTAAATTTAAACGTGGATTAGATCAGATGTTAGGCATCGCAGCGTAAGCGCTGTAGGCGTCTACTTTAAAACGTTATATTATAAAACTGTTGTTAGCGAAATCCGTCGATGTTCGAGCTGCACGTGAGACGCTCACATCGCCACCGAGCTCTCATCCGGGCAAAGCCACCACACCAAACACAAACCCGCGACGACGATCCCACTAAATACATACAAAAACATTAGAAATACGATATAACCGACAGTCTATAGCGTGATCATGATACTATGAGAGAACTTAAATTTAGATTACATCCCCTAAAATACTGTTGCGTTATGTTAAACATTAAAAATAATGATATTAGTCTATAACTAGCGGGTAAAACCCTCCTTCGTACTTCCCGTCGTAGAAAAATACAATTCAAGGGTTCCCGTGGTGTTATTTATGGGGAACCCCAAAACCTGAACTCCCATCCAACTTTTGGTAATTCGAATTGAGATCGATCGTGTGTAGTTCACAATAAAGTCCGAATCACAAAAAGCAGGAGCCCCCGACTCAACCCATTCATCTAATAGGCCATGATACGTGATGCGATATTGCCATAATATGTGAAAACCATTTAAAAATTAATCATTTAATTTATATATTTTCTAAGTTTAAGGGAGATTTGATGTTTATATCTAATACGTAACTGGTCGTTACATTTATTTTATTAATTAATTTATATTTACGTGTTGCAACACCGAACGTTACCGGCACTGAAGTTTCTTTACACACACCGAACCCTAAAATTTTATAATCGCATAATAAATTGAAAAAACGCGGCAAAAATACGATATTCAAAAGGCCTCGTATTCGGGTGACAAGACTAATACGAACACTCGATGCTCGCCGCTACGTAACGATCTAACGTCTTAAGGAGCTACGAAAATGGTGGAAATAATGTTTTGTCTCCTGTGGCGGATTGACCACTGATATTACACGAGCTTTGTATGTCTGTCTTCGTCGACTGCTACATACATCGTTGAAATTACATTTCACATGAACATTATAAATCTTAATTACTATTTTTTTTAAGTTTCATTCTAAAAAAAATTGTAACAACATTGACAGTCATTTTTAATTCAATTCTATATTTAAAATATTATGAGATTTAAGTAAAATGTAATATCGACGATGTCAGGACTCTGAATCATCTAATCATAATCAAAACAGTTACAACACTTAAAACAAAATCAAACTTCCCCTTAAACGAAATTAAAAAGTTAACGTATAAAAAAAAAAGTTAAATCATAAACCCCCTTAATATAAACGATAAGTACCGACATTAAATGGGTTGACAGCCCTAGTTAGTACGAGTTGTAATGAGATTCGAATTTCGAATTCCATTCGCTAAAGTTCTTATTTCGAATCTCATTAAAACTTGTGCTTCACCTCTAACACTGACTGACGTAAGGTTTTACAGCACAGATTAAATATAGCAAAAATGAGTGAATGAAATGTCAATGTCAATGTCAAAGTGAAGGAACGATTTGTATGACAGAAGGACGTGGTGAACCCGCCACGGGCCGAGGGCGGCCGGAACTCAAGATGCAGTGTTAGCGTGAGGGCGGCGCGCGCCTAGCCGGACACGGGCTCGCTCTCGGCGCGCGCGCTCTTGTTCTGCCGCACCAGCTCTGCGCGTCGCTCCTGCGGACGTACATACATTCGTTTTTATTATATATACACATATTTAATATTTACAATAAACTATAGCATTTCCAAGGAGGGTTGATGTCAAACAGGCGGCCGGTCGTAAAACTTTTGCCAAATCCGATCAGCAGTACGGAAGACGTACTGCGCCGACCCCGAGTGATTGGGAAATGGGCAGGGAGATGATGATGATGATATTTAATATTTATTTGTATGTGATAGAATGATATGGGGCTTGGGTTTTCTTATTATCGGTGTGGTCCTCATGTGGCTAATTGTAAAAAAAATACCTAACGTAAACTGCATACCCTTATAAACTATGAACTCTAATATAAGTAATTTTCAGTTCCATATATATTTGATGAAATAACACAACCAGACAACTGTCCCTAGACCGTCGTGTACCAGCTTGTCCATCTGTTATGACACATTTTCTCCGAATCGTAGAACTTAGAAAAAATACTTCCCTAACCGTTAAATAAGTACACTGTGTTTAAAATATTATCCCTCATAAATATCTGAAACAAACCTCTTTTTTAACGAAGTCGAGTTTCTTTTGTATTTCCTTTTCCCGGTTCTGTTCTGCGGTGGTAAGTTTGGTCTCGATGTCCTTGGTGATCTCCTCCATCTTAGCCGTGATGACCGATCGCACTTCCGCGAGCTTATTATTCTACGGATGGGCAATGATATGGTAAAACATAAAAATATGATCGATGATTAAAAAAACAAACCAAATACTAAAACATGAATTAAACACAAGCAAAAGTGATAATTTATTTGTATAATAATAAAATTTATTCAAACAAAAAGATAACTGCACTCTGCGCGAATTTCGGCATTATTTGCACATATATTGTCTCTAAGACGCCTATTTTATTTTCCGTCTCATTAACTATATGAACAAAATCACGTCGATTCTATATTTCGTTATTGCTTTACAGAAGGAAAAACAAATAAGCTTTCTAATATATGAATAATATTGGAATAGATGTTTTCTCAAAAAACTAGCGGATTCGGTGGGTGTCGTCCGCCACAAACGCTTAGTAGCAAAATTAGCCCCAAAAATACACATTTTTTTATTAAAATCGCTCCAGCCGTTTAAGAGAAGAAGAATTACGAACACACATACACCAAAATTTTACATATAAATATTTTTATCGATTTACATTAATTTATGAATCTCTATGCAAAAAAATATACTGCTTGAAAGTAGAACCAAGGAACAAAAAGCTTTACAGTTATTCTTACAGTTACGACTGACAATAAGTACCAAGTTTTTACTCCCACATTATTTTAAACTTCGACGAATGAAAGTTAATAACGTTTCATATTGAATTATTGTTACAGTCAGTTACTTTCATCAATTATTACGTGACTAATAAAATAAGTATATTGCCATAGATAGGTAAGTAATGTTTTCGTTTGGACATAACAGAATACACCAACCTATGAAAAAAAATTAATTCAATTTTTTTGCATGTCCCTCTGGGATTACTCAATAACAGCTTTAATTGAAATTTATTAAAACTTCAGTACATATATAGCAAAAATAGATATCCATACTAAAATTATAAATGTGAAAGTATGTTTGTTTGTTTGTCCTTCTTTCACGTTGAAACGGAGTGACGGATTGGCGTGATTTTTTGTGTGGAGATAGTTCGAGGGCTGGAGAGTGACATAGGACTTTTTACACCGGAAGATTCCCTAATTCCCACGGGAAAACACGTTACAATACAATCCAAAAAAATATTTATGATCAGAATTACTTGAAATTAGGTACTAATGCTCTTCAATAAAATTAAATAAATACGTGTTTTAGCATTTTCCAAATTCATCGTATAAGGGGGTTAAATAGGGGGGAAAGTTTACATAAAAACTCCCTTTTTAGAGATTTTTTGTAGTTTTGGCGCGAGCGAAGCCTCGTGTTCTGCTAGTAAACGATAATAATTATTGCAGAAGTTAATAAACTGTACCGCAATTATTAAAAATTGAACATTTTTTAAACACTTCGTTATCAAATTTTATTTAAATTAAAGCATAAAAAACATGAATGCCACGGTATGTGTGTTTCTTAATTTTCACGATGTAACGGTGTAATAGATTTGAGTAAAATTTAGAATTTAGATAGTTTATATCCTGTATCGATATACTAAGTACAGATTATATTTGTCGGCCCTACCTACTACTTGACAAAACTAATAAAAAAGTGATGTAAAAAATAAAAATAGGTTGCAAGAGGCAGAACACATGTATGAATGCTTAGTGTACAGTTTAGTTTAGTGTATAGGTAATTTATAAAAAAATATATAATTTTAATTACGTCTTAAATCTTAATACTTTTGCTTGTGTCAAATAAAAGTTTATAAACTTAATGAACGAATTAATAATTTAATATAAAAATTCAAACTTAGAATATTATCACAGAAAACGATGAATAACGATATGGTCAAACAAAAGAGGTTTTATAAAATATGAGAAATCAAAAAAAAATTTTTTTTTTTGAAAATTGGATATCATGAAAAAACTAATCCACTTACCTTGTGCCTGTCATTCGACTTTTTGCGAATGTAATGTAGATAGGTACTTATAGTATGTTAATACTGTAAATACCTCGAAGAAAATCATTATAACTCAGTCTTAGAATATTTTAAATAGAGAAAAATAATTAATTTCTTATATATTTGGAGTTTAAATTAAAAACCAATACTGTAATGAGTTACAGTGTTTTTCTTTGCAGGTTTTACTTTTTAACCTTACTCAACTTCGAAAATACCTGCTTAGGTATCAATAGTGAATGAATGCTCTCGTTCAGTTATTTTTTACTTTTAAATGTCTAGAAATAATACCTTCTTAGATTTATGCGAATATTCGACATTTTAAATAAAACTATGTTTTCGAATTTTTTCTTCCCGACGTTTCGAATGCTTTACAGCAATCATGGTCAAAGGAGAGTCTCTCCCAAACTTCAAAACAAATCCTCAAAAAAATCCGAAAAGATAGTTGTACCTATATAAAATGTCAAATATTCGCGTAAATGTAAGAAAACAGAGAAACATTAAAAAAGTGATGAATCAAATTATACGAGTAAATGTTGAGAAAAACCAAAGAAAAAAACATATCTCAAAGATAACTAATGTACGAGTAGAGTTTAATTCCGTCCGCGTTTATGCATAGACATGACCGAGAGGGCGCGGGTCGAGTGGAGCGCTTCAAGGGCGGTCTTGTTGGTCGCTTAGTGCCGCTTATATCTGATCTGGGGTAGCTTATTTATGATGGTTGTTACATTTTGCATATTAAGTTAAGTTTGTTGGGTTATTTTTTCCAAAAGATAAAAAACGATCTAATTATACTAACTTATTATGTACAAGAGATTGATAAGTAAAATTGTAGTATAGTCACGTTTTTCGTTGTTGTAGTAAAAAGGCATGTAGCTGTATCATCTAACACATTTTTTTTTAAATTCATACAAATACCTTAAAGTATTGCCTTCCTCATCAGTCACTTCGTCTATTGGTGAAAACCGTTTTTAAATCCCTTTGATAGTCTTCGAGTTTATTGCGTATAGACAGACAGACGCGGAGGGAGAACTTTAGTTTTACAATAGGTAGTTATGCTAATATATGTATTATGTAATCAGTATTGCAAGAATAAGTAGCAATGCAAATTACGCAAAAATATTATTTAGTAAAAGAAAATTTGAATACTTACGTAATGGACGTCGAGCGCTGCTTCGTATGTGACATTATAAAATATACACACATACCTACCTTGACAACTTATTCAAAATGGCCGCCAAACGTTTTACGTGGATTAACAGCTTAGGCAGGAAACATACAATTACAAACAGTGATGTAATTTGACAGACGATTATCCATTTCTCGCTGTGTAGAAACTATACGGTCTAAAGGACTACTCGCTTAAATACTAAGCCCTAGGCCAACGCGACCACGACCATGGTTGCCATCGACCAATTATGTATAAACACAGTCTAATGCATACAGACGTATTACGATGCCGTCAAGACAGGGCGATCGTACGAGAGCAGACGCGGGCGAGGCGCACCCGCCTGGCATACATACTTTTATATGAAACTCGGGAAATGGCTTTAGGGCTGACGGTTATAACTGTAACTTTAACACATTATGGAAGGCTAATACGGAGTGCCGTCAATCAAAAGAAGCCTTCCCCACACTAAACAAACAATTAACAATGAAACTAACACGCCTAGATAGACCCAAACTAAAAACGGTGGTGGAACTGATAACAGGACACTGCCAACTCAATAAACATCTTTTTAACATAGGTCACACGGACAGCGCCCTCTGCAGAGCGTGCCTCCAAGAAGATGAAACACCAGCACACATCCTAACTGAATGTAGTGCACTGGATCAATTACGCGAAGAAAAACTCGGCCCCTATAGATCGATCCCAGAAATCTTCCAGGCCACCGGCAGCCTGCTAGACTACTGGGACGCTCTGGGATGGAAAGAATAACACACACAGCAGCACAAGCTCACGCACAACGGGCAAAGATGCCTAAGTGCGGATAAAGCCGCGTCAGAAGAAGAAGAAGAAGAAGAACTGTAACTTGCCACGAGATGGCGCTACATCGATTTAACTTTAAAACCGTTCCTCGCGAATATTGATATTTATTAACAACCTTTATAGTTGGATTTCCGGTAAACTCAAAGATAATCAACTTCTGTATGGATTTTTATACTGCGATATAAAAATTCTTATAAAGAAAATCACCGAATAACAACCTAACCGTAATACATTTAACGTCTGGTCGTCGACTCCATGGTCGGTTGTCGCGGTTACCTAGCGTCGGTTGTATTGGTTGCTTACATGGTTGCGCAACTTCTCCCTCTGCTCGGCCTCGATCTGCAGACGGCGATCGGCGGCCTGTTGCAGCTTGTCCTGGATCGCGCTCTCCAGCTGCTGGAAACGCTCCTGGTTGCCGGCGCGCACTTTGCGCACTTGCTCCTCCTAATTTTACATGTTACCCATTATATTTCCAATAATACTTCGAAATGTATAATTTCTTTCTATACAAGGCGATTTTCTTCAAGTGCACTTAACTAATTTATGAAGCTATGACGAAAATATTTGAAGAAGTCATCAACACATTTCTCTATATTAATCGATCTCTTTATTTTAAAAGATACAAAAGTTAGACCTACACACACCTATGATAAGAGTCGACTCTAAAAATTGTATTCTAGATAAAAAAATGAGCGAAAATGTACACCAACAAAAAAGAAATAACACGCCTAAAATGTGAATTAAAAAGGAAGAAATAATACGACATAGGAACATTATATTATGTTCTAGAAGACATTTAAACTTGCTGCAAGTTTCGTTAGAAAACATTCATACATATATACATACAGTTCAAACGTAGCCCCCCTTTTAGGCTTCGACATACGTAAGCTGGCTGGCAGCGGTTGGATGCGTAGAGCTGAAGATCGAGCTCAGTGGCGTGCCATAGGAGAGGCCTATGTCCAGCAGTGGACGAAAGCAGGCTGAACATGATGATGATGATGGCTAAAAACTACGTAGTCTCCTCATCTCATTTTACATGACCTTTACCAGTTTACCAAATAAGATAAAGACGTATTTACTATTAAATACAGTGGGATGGGGATTTTTGCTTAATGTAAGAAGCGCCAACTAAGCAATTACCACTGACGAATAATTAAATAATTGAATGAAAATTCTGTACTTTTGTACACAATACACCATTCGAAACGGTATAATCGTAAAGGCGAGCTTTTAATACGCGGCTATTAAAATAACAATGACACAAAACTGAGAGTCGATTTTTTTCTCTCCATTAATTGAAGCGATGCTACAACGACAATAACAGCTTTAATTAGAAACGCGTTCTTTAAACTAAACACAATTCTATGTCAAAATGTATGTATGATGTTTATAATCTATACATATAATAAAATTGTAACTAAGCCGAATCTGTACATTAAATATTTTTTAGAAAATCTAATTGAAATAGACATTATCGATACAGAAGCCGAATCTATAGTTTTTAGAATTTTTGTCTGTCTGTCTGTCTGTCTATTACCGCATCACAGAAAAACCACTGGAGGGATTTTGATGAAATTTAGTATGGTGATAGCTGGTTATCCTGGTCAACATATAGGATACTTTTTACCGCAGGAAAATGTCTAATTTCTGAGAAAAAATACAAAAACTGCAATGTAAGAGTATACTAATATGTAAAACCTAAGAATTTGCTGTTGATCATCTGAACGCGGGCGGAGCCGCTCGCAATGGTAGTAAAACAATAAAGTTTTAAATTGTCATTTTTCTAAATGTTAAACTTTTAATTTATTATATCGGTTAAGAAACAAACTAAAACTTACTATTAAGATTTTTCAGTAATTTACATTATTAAATCATATTAAATCTTACAAGACATAAGCTTTACTATTAGAAGATCGCAGGTTCAATTTTCTCATAGCGCGAATATTTTTAGTGTGTTGAGGTACTGGTACTAATTAGAACTTAATCCAGCGAAACAGTTATTTGAAAGATACAAGAGCCATACTCAAAATGGTATGAGTATAGGTTTGTTTATCTATATAAATAAAAATGAAAAGTTGTACGTTAGTAAGCAAATGGCTGAACTGATTTACCAATGTTCTAAATAAGGTAATATATTAGAAAAGTAATCCGAACAAATGGGAAATTTGGGAAAAACTAAAAGTGTTTTTTTTTCTATAGAAATAAAAACTACGTCTGTCGCTTTAGGCCCTAAGAAATAAAAATAAACCACTCACATGTTCACGGAGACGTTCAAGCATCTTTTTGATATTTTCGTCACGCTTATCGGCGGCAGTGTTCATCTTGTCTTCGATCGCCTTGTATACTTCAGCAGTCTGCTGCTCCAAGGTCAACCTAGGGCACGAGTGGAATGGTTTGAAATTTCAATTTAAAATAGCCCAAGTTTTCTTAAACTATTATAAACTACATTTTTATAAATAACTAGCGATATTTTAACCTTTTCACAAATTTTTGTACTAGTAATAGCCTAAATGTTACTTCAAGCCATAGTCTGTTTGCTAAATGTTATCCAAATCCATCCCAGCCAGTGTTCGCGTGAAGGCGTAGTTGAAATTGAATTGAATACGTACTGTTTTTAAAAGTATAATTAGAAGACAAGTTTTAATTTCAAGTATACCTGGTCTTCTCGACACCTTCAAGATGATCCTTAAGACGAGCACGGAGTTCATTAATATACGCCTCACGTTTCTCTTCATGAGAATCCATCTTAGCGTCCAAAGCTTCCTTTGTAGCTACAATAAAATTATTTGTCTGTTCGCTGCGGACACGTGAGGCATCCTCTATTTTCTGCATCTTTTGCGCGATCGCCGCCATCTTGCTAGCTTCCAAACTCTGTAAAAATATATTCTCAAAATTCCTTAATCTTGCGCGAGAAATTTTCATCATGAATGGTTGCAATTGGAAGCCATATATAATATCATAATGCAAAATGGTAAGGAGTCGACAAACCATTAAGAATAATGTCGACCTGTAACTTTTTTATAAGTCCCAAAAATCCCTTTGTAGCCTTAAAGCAGTAGCATTACTTTTACGACCGGTCTTTCTAAATTTTATGAGCAGTACGCATCTCTATATAAGAAACCTATAGCACACACGCAAGTTATGAGATAGGTCAAGTGCTCATCGATTTTATGGAGATAATAATTTGTTTTTGAGATAACCTTTCGCATAACATGATCCACACGAGATAATGAAAATCAAGCCTACCAATATTGCCGGTAAGCTTTGTTCAACGAAATTTCTTAATTAAATTATGTTAGATACAAAATTACCATAATTTAATTAAGAAGCACCATAGTAAATATGTGTCTTTTACAGAAAAAAAGTGCTATTGTACACATCTAGTTAAAATTAATAGAAAATTAAGGTCAGTTAAAAATAAAATACATGCCTTATAATAATTTCCATTTTGGTTTTCAGATTTTCTGAATTTGATATAAATCATTTTAGTTTAAAATAATATAAATGTAACATACACGTCTCCTTTCTTCGGCAGCCTTGAGCTTTTCTTGAATTTCTTCAACCGATGGAGTTTTCTCGGGAGAGTCAGCCCGGCGCGGCACGGGCACGCCCACAGGCTCAGCTAAGATAACTTCATACGCTAAACCTCCCTTCGACATCTCTTGGCAGCGAATTTCAGTGGCTGATGACAAAAAATTGTTGTTTTAAAAAAAATACTCACAGAATATAACTTAATGCCAAAGCTGCTGTAAAAAAAAAAATTAAAAAAAGTATGTGCAAATAAGGTTTTTAAATTGGAAGCGAACATAAGATATTTTTTATATTATTTTTTGGCTATATTTACAAGAAACATTGTTTTTAGTTATTTATTTTTTATCCCTCTCCATATTTTTGCATTTACTAATTCAAGAAGCGTTGGTACTAAAACGTCCAATTATAATTTGCGTAACGTTTCCGTCCGTGTATTTAATTTTCTACGAGTAATATAAAGTTTCATCCAATTAATTAGACGTGATTCAGGACTGTTTTCGTCCACCATAAATCGTCTTATTAATGGAGTGTTGACATTGGCGTGGATTTCATTGTTCAAATTAAAAATATCACTTCTGTAGGAATACATAAAGTCCATAATGAAACGTAGGCCGTAGCGTAAATATTGTATAACGCATTAAATTATGATTACAGAGCAATTAACACCCCGGCGCCGGGGACATTACAAAGGCCATTTAATTAAGCCCGCGTCTATATTACGGAATGGTATTTTAAAAATTTTTGGTATTCCGGAACCCTCGGGTTGAAATTGAAGAAAAATTCAAGGTCGGCTCACTAACATCGTAGGAATGAGCAAAGAGCACGTCTTTGTTATTTTATAATAAAGGGGAAGGTGGAGAGTACCACCCTCAGCGAATGAGTCATGGTAATATTACACTCAGTTTTATACGTATACGTTTTATACACGGGAGTACGTGAGTAATTTTCCCCAGGAATTGTATTACTTTCACGTACCTACTCAGCCGACTACATTATGATGTACGAACAACTTTGCGTTTCGTATAAGGCTAGCATAATAATAACTAAACGATATCGTAAAAGAAATGGAAGCAAAATAAGTAAGTTGTGACCTTCTATTATACACTTACTGATAAATTTAACTTTCTTTGGTTGCTTAGTCCTCGGTTTGCCGACTGGTTTCTTGACTGGTGCGGAACGCCGATGCGCTGGATAATAATATCAGTCAGAAGAGTCCAAGCCAGCGACGTCACACGCTCTTTTGAGGATATCAACACCCACTTTCCAAAATCAAGTAGCGATAAAGCATTTGCTAAATTATTCAGAGTAAATGTGTTCGGAAACACCTCTATTGCTATTTCGAAAATTCATAATCATTTTTCGCATCTTCAATCTCATTTCACATCCATATATCTCATACGTTTCATATTCTGAATACAATAGCATCTACAATGTGAAATAAACAAAAGGCAGGAACAAAAAATGGGGTCGCAGAGCATCTTTCCGCACTTTACGAGAGATATAGAGGGTGAATTTCTATTTTTCAAAGCAAAATATTCATTCTAATCAGCAGTTTGATAAATGACCCCAATTTAATAAATACATATAAATCAAACAGAATAATCAAATTTGAATAAAAACAGATACAGTGGTGATTTTACACAACTGAATTACAGATCCAACTCCAAGGCTCAATCACCATTATTTCCCTCTCCAGCAACAACAATCGAATGCCTATTACGGTCAATTCGGTCAGTCAATGTTTATTCAGAGAGCATTCGAACCCCAGTTAATGAAAGGCTATCGATTGTCGCGTGACAGACCCGAAAATTGATTTTGCCGCAGTACTTTGGGTACTATGTCTTCTATTAAGCTTTTAATACCTAAAATTTATGTTTTGATCTTTATGAACTACATATATTTTGTAAATATAAATCATAAATTATTTACTGCTTCTAAATTTGTTCTGCAAATAAAGTGGAAAACTAAAAGAAATGGGACGAATTAAGGTGACGCGACGACAAAGTAAAATGAGAATAAGGTACGTGACAAGAATTACCTAAAGATATATCTGCTAGCAAAAATACATAGTCCCTTATAAAGATAAGCTATGTCGCAGATGTCAGACGTCTCGGGTAAAAGAAAGTATGCAATATAAAATTGCTATCCTTTAGTCTGGTTTATCATAGAGAAAATGTTAGTTGTATGCTATATACGCAAAATATTGTTAAATGCCAATTAAATTGTCATAGAATACAGAAGTAAATGATGAAAAATAAATAGGAAACGAATTCATGGAAAACATGTACGTATTAAAGAAAAATTATATGATCGATTCAGCCCTTTTACTGTCCCGCAAACTGTGCCTATCCTCGTAGCAAACAGGCCTAAGTCCACGCTGACTATAAATGCGGCTGGCAGACTTCATGCGTCTTTCGAAAAATAGTTGTTTTCTAAGTCATACACTATTATTCCCAAGTAATATTTTTAAATTACCAAGTACTAACTTTGATGAAAATGTACACATGAATATTTTAGACGTGCGATGAGAAAATTTGAGTCATTTTGGTTTGAATCAGCTTAAGAAATCACTCGATCTTCTGAACAAGAGCGTTACCAATGGGTTACATCTTAGGTTTAAGTAAATTACAAATGAAATTGTTACCCCAAATGTAATTTATGCCACACATATAAATAAGATATTTTTTTAAATTAGAAATATATTTCTTATAATGTGACGTATCCGTAATGTGAATGTTCACATTGACTTATGTTTCCTTGGCTAGACGATGCAGCTGAAATCTTACGTCACACAGGCCACGACCTCACTAATGCGGGCTGGCACTGCCATATTGCGGTTTTTCGCGAAAGGAATTGCTAATCCTAGTACATTATCACTAACATACGAGGAAAACCTATTTAAATATAAAAAGGAGCAATTAGATATTTATAAATTACTAGCGACACATCCTCGTTTTGCTTGGGTTCGTCCCTACTGTACGTTTTAACGGTTAGTATAGATTTCTCAAATATGAGATATTTTTCCGCAGTAAAAAGTATCCTATATGTTGTGACACAGGTAGCTACTAGCTATCATCATACCAAATTTCATCAAAATTTGTCCAGTGGCTTTCTTGTGATGCGGTTCCAGACAGACAGACAGACAGACAGACAGACAGACAGACAGACAGACAGACAGACAGACAGACAGACAGACAGACAGACAGACAGACAGACGACAGACAGACAGACAAAATTACTATTTCAATAAGATTTTCCGAAATAATATTAAATGTACAGATTTGGCTCAGAATTTTATTATATGTATAGATATAGATAATAACATGAGCGGATCTACGGCTAATTGTTTCATTGTTTGTTAAAGAGTATGAAATAAAATGGTGACGTAAAAAATCGACCGGATCAAATATAAATATATAATGTAGTAGTAGCTGAAAGGGCGAGCAACCCCTCTGGCGCCACACGATACGACATGAAAACTGATAATATATTTAAACCAAGCTTTAAAACTCGCAAGGGTGGAACGAAAAGCGAATTTACAGCCTTTGGGAATACGAATGTTGAACAAGAAGTGTTTTCAAAGGGGGCGCGAATGTAATTGCATATACGAGTGCGTCGAGGGCTTTGTAGTTTTAAGAAGATTCTAAGGGTTGTTTTAATGTTATCTAATAATTTTATAATTTTTAAGACATTCATATTATAGATAAAATTAAATAGATAACATGGTGTTAGTTCTTTCTAAGACAGTTCCTAGCAAAACACTTCATAAATGTGTTCTGTATAGGTATCTTCAAGTTAAAGAAAAACCTAACAGTCTTAAGAGTACTTTTAGAACACGTCATGGTCTAAGCCGCAATGCATAATTGTGTCACCGTGATAAGATGTTTGAAAGTCTGATCAAAATTAATTAAAACAAATGATACAAAGACATTGTGAACAACATGAAGAAAATACAACAGTGTACAACTGGAGATACATTTAAAATATGAAAAATAATTTAATTATACTATTGCAAGAAAAAAATCCTAAGGTCACTCGACCTAGAAATCAGGACTTAAGTATATCATAGGTCCATTTTCTAGGTCGAGTAAATCTTGAGCCACTGGCGATGGCACAATTTCTGGAACGAAACGAATTGTGTCAAGAGAATATGTTACTAATTAGCATAATTAACTTAAAAATTGTTTTCCTTCCGTTAAATATTCATATGTAAGTATATGACATATTAGTTGAATATCTAAAGGGGTGCTAAACTTGTTGAGTCAATTAAACTCAGCTCTAATAATCCCACCCCAAACAATTATGTCATCTCCAAGCCCCTAATGTCTCTTCACAAAAGGGTACATTAGCAATTTGTGTACAAACACGCAAACCTTTTATGCAAATAGTCGTCATTTGTGGATACCGTTGATTGGAGAACAGTAAATTAACGTTTATAAGTCAAAAAAAGGACTTAAGATTGTAAAATTTTAAAAGAGCTTATCTGTTATATAAAGAAATGGGTATAGTGTATGTTGCCCATTAAAATGTTCCATAAAATTTACACAAATATAAATTACATAAATTATATAACGAGGGTAGATGTTCGAAAATTAATGTGAAATACTTTCAATACCTAGTCTCTTCTTGATATTATTTTAGCTTTAAATGTTTATTTGCAATTTGAGAATGAAGTAGAATAAAGATATGTATATTGAGTTTCCAACAGATTGGAACAAAAAATCCTATTCGTAACGTATTCTAGTGCGCAAAATGGTGTACGCATGTAGTTAGTACGGTAGCGTACAGTACAAAATGGTTGACATTATGCAGTAATGTTCAATCAATATTACTATTTATGTCGATATGTAGACGCATCGACTGTATCTGCAACAAAAACGTAAAAAATCAGATAATATTTAACATCAAGAATTTTCTTATTTTTCTTATTTCAGGCAATAAAAGTATCACAAGAATTAGTTTTTAAAATTGGAAGGGTAGATTTCATAACTGTCGTCAGGCGTTTTTTAATACAATAATTACTTTAATTTTTTAGAATTAACGATTTAATGGATCACATTTACAACATATTTTTTGCATAAAAGGTAATATTTAGCAAGCACATGGACATCTACAAGCCCTGCGGTGTTGCAGATGTCCAAGGGCGGCGGTGATCACTTTCCATCAGGTGAGCCTCCTGCCCGTTTGCCCCCTTAGACCCATAAAAAAAACACATCAAGAATGCCGGCCGGCATTCTTAAGAGTTAAGTAAGCCTCTTACAAGGACAAATGTATAAAATACATAATGTCAAATAGAATGTTATTTTAAGTATCACATGGTACGTCATCTTACATTTAAATATACCCTCAAGTTCCTCTTCTAATATCTTCAAAATTTTCTTGGACACAGTAAGATTTACATTAATTGATTTAAGATAAGAGACGTAAGATTTGCGTTTTTGGTTACCTTTTTCATCTTCTCTAGACTTAGACAACAACACAGACAATCTTGTTTGTCTAGTCAAAACTTTAAGCAATACAAGCAAGTGGGCGTTTCATCCTCGATAAGAGCGTGCCGGCGTCGCCGGTATGAAGAGTTTTGACATAAAACCAATTTTCTTCTTTGCAATTGTTCCAACCTGCAGGTAATACTGGTGCTCGGCATGAGTGGCAGAAGCACTGCATAACCGAGTCCCGTACAAGTCCAATCAGCATGATGGTAGCTTCAAATTGACTATCTATCTAACGTAAGACGGAGTCGCGTCGCGGCGCGTGCGAACTGCGCGACTCTCGTCCGGAAACTGAACTACGACGGGGGGAGGGCAGCTGGTCGATAGCTATACCCCGCACCGCACATCCCCCGCCCTGCAGACCCACCCTGTGCCACCCCTACCGCGCCGTCGTCCTTAACTTGATAACCCCACAGAAGAAAATAAGTTTATCAAATGAAAAAATAACGTCCATCTCAATGTATTTTTATAACACTAGTGAATAAATAATTAAAAGTTATAAACTATGTAGATATTTTAAATGTCGGATAAATTAACGTTGTAATTTACAAAAATTATTTTAAATAACATGAAATATCGATAGCACCATATTTCTTAACTTCATTTTAAATTGTAGTTAATATTGATTTTTATCTTATAATAACATACATAAAGATAATTTGATGGTCACACCTAGCAACTGCAGGGCTAAGGTCGGGAAAGGCAAACTAATTTAAGTACCGCCTAGACTCTTGCGGGCCTCGGTGGGCTTCTCGGTCATAAAAACTTCGAGCTGTAGGGGGAGAGCGGGCAAATACGTAGAGCGAGCAAGGGGGCACCATGCGGCGGTTCCGCCGCCGTCTCGGCGCCGCCACCCGCAGCCAATTAACAGCCAGCAACGCAACGTTGAATTTGTTTCGCCACTCAAATTGCTTCCGATTGATTTCCCGTTTTTAAAAATCCTTAACGGAATATCTTTTAGCACCTTGCTAACATAAAAACAATGAAAGGTATAGGAAAACATATTACACAAGGTAGCTTAAATACTTGTATTGCTAATCTGATGTAGTATTGTCTTTTTTTAATGATGGTACTTTTAAAAAAAAACTTCAAATACTGTCACTGCAGTCTATGACTATGTCGTAACCTCGTGCACCGGTAACATCGGCGGCTGTGACGCGACGATCGATTCCGGGCAACAACCCCGAGTCCGCGTCCCCCTGCGGTAATAACTGGGAATTCCAGGAGTAATCCGTACTCGACCCATGAATACGTTCAAAACCTGATGGAAATACCACTTGCGGCGTCCGACATCCGTCCGCCCTTTGACGGTTAATATATTCCTTTTACAAGAAAATTCAAATTTTCAAATGAAGTACAGAGACATGAAGTTATAAACTAATCTTCAGCGACTAAATCAGCTTTAAATATAATCGTCGTGAAACTTACATTGTTTGTTATATATGTAAGATAAACTATTTAATTAAAAGAAAAACCAAAAACAGGTAAATAAAAAGTCGTAAAAAGCAATGTAAAGCTGAATATAAATATAAGCAAATAACCAAGCTGCGAAATTTTTTATGGCTGCTAAAACTTTTTAATTTTTTTTTTATAAAAGTAACAATTTCATTAGGAACATGGTATGGCGCCCAACGTGGGACACTAAAATTAATAATTCATACACAGTCCTTTTCATGCTTTCCACTCTAAATTTATTATTATCACTTAAATTCGGTAATAATTACTTTAATACAACTACAGTAAGCGTTTATTTTCCAATAATTAATTAATAATTATATACTTGCTCTTTTTGCACAAATCTATACAGATAATAAAATTCTAACTAAGCCGAATCTGTACATTAAATATTTTTTGGAAAATCTTATTGAAATAAACATTATTATCGATACAGACGCCGAATCTATAGTTTTTAGAATTTTTGTCTGTCTGTCTGTTACCGTATCACAGAAAAACCACTGAAGGGATTTTGATAAAATTGGGTATGATGATAGCTGGTTATCCGGGTCAACATATAGGATACTTTTTACCGCTTGAAAATATCTCATTTCTGAGTGAGAGATGCAGCAAGATACAAAAACTGCAATGTAAGAGTGTACTAATATGTAAAACCTAAGAATTTAGTCATCTGAACGCGGGCGAAGCCGCGGGCAGTGCTAGTACATTAATAAAGCAATACAGAGATCAATGTGCGCAAAGGTGGACATTTTAATATTCAATAAAATTTATTTAACATTATAATAATAGATTGATAAGTTAAGATGTAAAATGGATCCAAACTCCGGCGCAACAATCAATAATACGGTTTAATAAAATATCTGCAGCTATGAAAAATGGTGGCTACCTCTCCTTTTAGCACGGCAACAAGTTGAGTCACGTGCTCAGTGGATTTGGCAGGGAATATTAAGAAGCAGCGGCGCGCGTCCGCCTGCGACGGAGTATCGATTTGCCTTGTTTCAGGCATTTTCAGGTTTTGTTCAAACGTAACTATTTGACCTCTAGACATTATTACTCCCCGAAGAGATGAAATTTTGAGAGTCTACTTTAAATGATGTAAAATTCAAAAGTATTATTATTATGCAGATAATTACACAATAATTATGTTATATAATAATTTAATAAAATTAATAAATATGAATCCACAAAAAAAAAATTATTTGCCTCAACTATATTAAAAAAAAACTAAAAATTTAAATGGCAACAAATATCGTAGTAATATTTAATGCTCCCAAATATTAAAGTTTTTTTTTTAAATCGGTAAAGATACCTAACGTTCATTAACGTTCCGTGATTATTTAAAATATTGCCAATATATCATACAACTGAGTAGTACAGTACAGTAGTAGTAGGTAGTAAAACTTAACATACTCGTAAGTAAAAGTAAATTTCATTTTTAACATAAAAAAATACTTCAAATTATTAAACTCAGGTATATGGAAATATGAGTTTTATATCACTCGATTACGGGTCCATAATGTCATGCAGCAAAGTAGGATTGATATTGCTCTGTATGCATAGTTCATGCCAAGTTTTCGATGGCTGTTAATTCATCACAATGATTCACGTGTTGAGGAAATCCGTTGTGTTTTTTATTTTTTTATGGAAAGCTTCCGGTTTCAAGAGCAATTATCAAGTTAAAGCTTTGGCGACACTGTGACTATGTCGTCTAGACTACGTATTACAAGTTAGTATATTTGCATATATAAGGAATTCTTACATAACATAATACTATAAATACGCCCATTGAAAGAAATGAAAAGAGGTTTTTTTGTATTTAGCTAATGTAGGAATTATTCAATACTTGTTAAAGAAATGTAAGGGAAAAGTAGAAATAAAGATTATACTAAACTAGCATACGGAATATCTTTCAATATTTGATCTCCGATCGCGACACATTGTAAATGCTATAAAGAAGCTTTTGCCACAAAAGGCAGACAAAGCAGTAAACCATCTGGCCCCGGAAAAGTTTCGCACAGTTTGGCAAGACGTCCCTTTCTCAAATTACATTAAAAAAGTAACGAAGAATGTAAGATAATCGGTATTAAAGCTATATTTATTATATTTAAGCTTTCAAAAAGTTGACAACGATTTCATTTATGAGTTTTAATGAAAAGGAATATCTAAAAATATATTAATTTATTCTAATTGTTGAATATTTGATGAAAATACACCATTAATAGTTATTATTCCAAATAAGTACATACATTTATACAATTTTTTTATTTTATTGTTTATCTGCTTATCTAATATGTGTATAAATTATACTTATCTCGGGTCATGGTTTTTGTGGTCGTACTCCTCCGAAACGGCTAAACCGATTTTAATGATTTTTTTTGTATGTTTGGTAGGTATGAGATAAGAGTATACGTCGTAAAGTATTTTTGACCCTCTTACCCCATCCCCCATTTTTAATCGCAATTTTAGTATTTTTGTATGAACCACATCCAAATTATTTAATATTAATAAATACATAGGGATAAACCCGAGCGAAGCGAAGTCGATATGTAACATAAAGCAAGTTTTTTTGTAGATTGAAGGCGGGCAAAGCCACGGGTTCTGCGCTAGTATTATTAAATAAATAAACTTAAAAATTCGATGTCAACCGCACGTGATTGATAAATGATAATACAAGAAAAAATACAGAAAAAGGTTTTGAATATAATATGTATACATATAATATCAAATTACAATATGACGTGTTAAATAATTAATTTACAAATGCAAATGTTGATGATTATGTATTATCAAAACTGAGTGCGGATGAACTTTTCATATGAATGAGTTAAAATATTACGTAGTATTAGCAAGCTTTAAAAAGTTGATAATATTTACAAGGGATATAAACTATATTTTTTACAATTTTTAGTACGAGTAGGTTTTAACACAAAAATATTTTTTCAATGGTGGCAAATCCAATTCGGTGATAGGTTTGATTTCGGTACAGGGCAAATATTTGCGTTAGTTATAGGTCAGTACAAACATTTGCACAGATATATCAGTCTGAGTACTGAAGTAAAAACGTAACGGCTCGTACATTGTAACATTACAGTCAAAACGTGGAAAATAGTGATTCTCAATTAAATCTTTTAAAATTCTCAATGCAAAATTTTAGCTAGCAATAAATATATAGCATTGCCAATTTTTTTATTCTTTAATTACAGTATATTATAACTCAAAATTATATGTTATAGCTATATTTACATTTTTAGTGCGTTGTATTTCAAATTATAATTAACTAGCGGACCCGACAGACGTTGTCCTGTCTACACGTCTTTAATTTGAAAATTTCATACTTTTTTTAATAATTTTTTTGATGAAAATTATTAAATTATACAAATTGTGAATATAAACCATTCCCAGATCCCCTTGAACACACACAAAAAATTTCATCAAAATCGGTCCAGTCGTTTGAGAGAAGTTCAGTGACATACACACTCACAGAAGAATTATATATATATAAAGATGTTGTAGTGCAAAACTTATATGATATTATTTTTTTGTGTCCTGGTAGGAAGTAGGAACAAATAAGTAAATAATTAAAGCAAGAAAAATCCATACATGTAATAAAATTCTAGCTGAGTCGAATCTGTACATTAAATATATATTTTTTAAATCTTATTAAAATAGTCATTATTATCGATTCAGAGGCTGTATCTATAGTTTTTAGAATTTTTGTCTGTCTATCTGTCTGGGAACGCATCACGAGAAAATAAATCACTTGAAAGATTTTGATGAGGTATGATTATAGCTGGTTATCCGGGTCAACATATAGGATACTTTTTACTGCGGGAAAATATGTCATCTCCGAGAAATCTATACATATAATAAAATTGTTACCAAGCCGAATCTGTACATTAAATTTTTTTTTTGGAAAATCTTATTGAAATACAGAGGCCAAATCTATAGTTTTTAGAATTTTTGTCCGTCTGTCTGTCTGTCTGTTACCGCATCACAGAAAAACCACTAGAGGGATTTTGATGGAATTTGGTATGGTGATAGCTGGTTATCCGGGTCAACATATAGGATACTTTTTACCGCGGGAATGTGTCTCAATTCTGAGAAAAAAATACAAAACAGCAATGTAAGAGTATACTAATATGTAAAACCTAAGAATTTGGTTTTTGATCATCTTAACACGGGCGGATCCGCGGGCAATGCTAGTCTAAACGTTAACTACAATACAACAAAATTATTTTTTCCTAAATTAAGATAAATATTACTATAATATTGATTTAAAACATTAACCTGGATGAATGAGACACACATTGGCAACAAGTTCCCATATCTCATATGTCACTTCCATAAACTTTAACCTTCGCCTTCACTCCGCTATATTATATGAAACATGTTTTCGTCCCCTTTATTTGATTTCTTATCTTAATGGTATTTTTCTTATTACAACGTAGTTTATTTAGTATTGTTTCTTATACTTTGAAATATAAAATCCACACTAATATTATAAATGTGAAACTATGTTTGTTTGTTTCTTTGTTTGTCCTTCTTTCACGTGGAAAGGGAACGACGGATTTGCGTGATTTTTTATGTGGAGATAATTGGAGGGCCGGAGAGTGACATAGGTTACTTTTTACAGCGGGAGATTATCTCATTCCCACGGGAAAACACGTTATAATACAACCCAAAAAATATTTATGACCAGAATTACTTGAAACTTGCTATTAATGCTCTTCAGTACAATTAAATGAATACGTGTATAAGCATTTTTCGAAATTCGTCCCATAAGGAGCTAGAATAAGGCATGAAAGTTTGTATGAAACCTACCTTTTTAGTTTTTTTTTAATTTTAGCGCAAGCGAAGCCGCGGGTTCTGCTAGTATAAAATAAATTTATGATTAAAATTAAAAAATAAATAATAATATTCGTAATATCATCCTTTCCTGATATGATTGATGATGACATTTGCAAACATAGACAGCAAATACAAATAGAATGTCAAATAGATTAATGTCAATTCTAAGCCTACTCCTGTTCCTTTTGTTAATAGAACTAGCGACTCACCCTCACTCCGCTAGGTTTCGTCCCTAGGAAAATTTTAGCGGTTAGTATAGATTTCTCAGAGATGAGATATTTTCCCGCAGTAAAAAGTATCCTATATGTTGACCCGCATACCCAGCTATCATCTTATCAAATTTCATCAAAATCTGTCCAGTGGTTTCCCTATAATGCGTTCCCAGACAGACAGACAGACAGACAGACAGACAAAAATTCTAAAAACTATAAATTTGGCCTCTGTATCGATAATAATGCCTATTTCAATAACATTTGTACAGATTCGAGTCAGAATTTTATTATACTCATAACACAAAAATCGATTTCCAGAAAATATTATATTACAAGTCAACTACAATAATACAGATAATAAACATGCAATTCGTAATCGAAACATCAATTTGGCTTATATCAAGTGGGGTCGGCTAGGGCGATATTATAATGATCCCGGGCTTTGTATTACATCTTCATTTCCTTCTCATGTCCCATTCGTTTTACGGTCCACTTCATTGACTGTGATTGATCTCTGCACAGCGATTCACAATTATATTTCGTAGGAATAACTTTTTAGAACGAGAAATGTATTACGCAGTTATTTATTAACTTTAGTCATTGATATGATTATTTTATAGATTATATTTTAAGTTTCAGTCAGAATTTTATAAAAACTGCAAGTTAAAGATCGATAAACACATTTAATAATAGCTTGTTGGAAAAGAACCTATTACCGTTTTGTTTTACAAAACAAGCGTGTAAAATATAACCGTTGAAAGTTTACGATGTCTCGTTCCTGGCTGACATTTCGCCGCATAGTAAGTAATCCATACTTAGAGATCGTGTATAAAGGACTTGTAATGCTATAAAGGGGGCTCGGGGGCACGGAAAGCCGTGGAGAATGACACACGCACGGACGGATCGATCAAGGCCAGACGCCTACGTTTGCGCGAATGTCTGCCTC